CAGGTTAGTGTTGCGTTATGCAGGGTCTTGTGGGGTGGATTGTGTAACCTTTACCCAAGCGAGGGAGTGCTTCCCAAAGTGAGTAAGCTCCTTGCTGTCAGGTGGCCTGTTCACATGAGTAAGAGCCCACCCAAGGGTGCATAATCTAGCTCTCTGCAGGCCAGTACATAAAACAATACAACCCAGAAGGAAATAACCCCCAGTAAAAGGAAGGCAGGTGAAAGCTGTAATGTGAATACAAAAGATCGCCAGAGGCACTCCAAAGAACAGACTGAATTTTCCATTAACGCGCCAGCCTACGCAGGGCTGAATTTCAAATGGCTTTTCTGGTGTCGCACTCAAACTTTATTACCTGACTTCTATTTGCTGTCTTGAGAGATCTTATCTGTAACTGCCTTTAAATTGACATGTGACTTCGGAGAACAAGCCTTCCAGTGTTCAGTCCCTGGAAAAGCCCCCCGCCGCCGCACACGCGAGTACACCCACCTCTGTGCTGTTCACAAGTTCCGTTTGAGCGGATGAGATCAGCGTTTCGGCCCCGATTCAGGCAGCCCATCCCTATTCAGGGCAGCGCTTGAGAACATGCTTGTCTTTAAGTGCACGTTTACGTTCCATTGAGGTCAACTTGAAATTTAGGAGCGGTGTCCCTCATTGAAGCCATTGGAACCTGAGCCTGGTTTTGGGGGCTGTCCTGAATAGGAAAGGAATTAAGCCTGCACTCAGATGGCTTTCTGAATTGGGGCCATAATCTCTGGCTCTTTCAAGGCGTGTTTCTAGAAATGGGGCCCCGATCCCTGCATGGGGCCCTTCAGGGCTACTGCAGTACAAATAATAATGTCAGATTACCTTCGCCTCTCTGTAGTGTATTCGATATGGGCCCTATCCTGACTGGTGCTGAATAAAAAAAAATTAATGGAGATATCCCATCTCCTAGAACTGGAAGGGACCTTGAAAGGTCATCGAGTCCAGCCCCCTGCCTTCACTAGCAGGACCAAGTACTGATTTTGTCCCAGATCCCCAAGTGGCCCCCTCAAGGATTGAACTCACAACCCTGGGTTTAGCAGGCCAATGCTCAAACCACTGAGCTATCCTTCCGCCCCCCCGTGTAGCCACAGTGTACCCAGGAGTCCCGGAGCTGCAGCTACTCAGCCCCTTTGAGGCGTGAGTGCTTTACACAAAGTAAATAATCCAGTCCCTGCGGGGTATGTTCACTTCTCAGTGCACCCGAGTAACACCTGTTAGCGCCAGTAGGAGTGCCACAGGCTTCAAGCATCGGTCATACCGAAACCCATTTGAAAGGCAATTTGGGGTTCTGGATGGCTCAGGGGATTGTTAATGGTCTATGTGGTCTTTCACCTCTAGGTCACCCGCTTGAGGCCAGGCCAGGACTCGTTACTATAAGAAAGGTGTTTGATGCCCTATGTGGAATGGGTTCGTTGACTGCTGTCCACATCACAGTGAGTCGCCGCTGCTCTGGCTAATGGGCATCCTTGATGCCAGTCTCATTCTGGAGGTGAACCCCTGGTTGCTCTTCCCGCGTGAGGTCTGGGCTCTGCATGGTGAGGGGGCAGCACATCCGTGGAACCCCGTGGAGGAATCTCGCACTGCTGCCACCTCTAGTACTATACCTGTTGTGTGGACTAGGGGAAAGGCAAATCTTCCCAGTGGCATTATGGCCCAGAGTCAGCAAAGCACTCGAGACATGCCTAGCTGTAAATGTGAGAAAACCCATCCACATCGAACAAGGCACTAAAGTACGTGCTTAAGTCAAGGCCTTGACGTTAAGCAGGCACTTAAATACATTGGTGCTCTGGGGCTTAATTTCTCACAGTGGTTTTATTATTTGCATTGTGGTCGTGCCTGGAGACCCCAGTCCAGGATCAAGGCCCTCTTGGGCTGGGCACCATACACATGTGTGATAAGACCCTGCTTTACAATCTGAGCATATGGTACAACAAATCGGGGGGTCCGGGGAGGACAATCACGATATCACGACTGGGGAATAAGCACCAGTCTCAGCTTACGACAATGTGGTGCTTCATGGTGGCTCCTCCCGTGCATAAGGGGCAGCATGGGAGAAAGCCCAAAGAGACTTGATGGATGGGTGCTAACGGCTAGCGCCGCTGGCCCAGAAGAAGCAGCATCTGGTTGCAAGTGAGAGTTGACAGGCAGTGAGGCCAAGCCAGGGAGAGCCCTAAAAGTAAAGGCAAGAAATTTGTGTCTGTGATGAAGGAGGAGGCAGTGGAAGGATGCAATGAGGGGGGATTAATTGGAAGATAACATCAATATCTGATTGGTTCATTGTGTCCCCATCACACAACTGCCATATCCTTTTGCGCGGTGTGATACGGGTAGCTCAGGGAGATGCTGCAGGTTAGGAGCTAGGCGTGTTGGCAGAGTTCTGTGAAAGGATCTTGCATAATGCTTTCCTGCACTAGTGCTGCCTCAGGTCTATACATTTGTCCTGGATTTTCATGATCTCTAATGCCCCAGCTCAGTGAGGTACCGGAGCACCTACCCAACTTTCACCACTCTTATCTGGTCGAGCTGGTGTTTCCAGGTTTTGATGGAGAACTTTGTGGAAGTCACGGAGATTTGTCTCATGAGCTCTCATACTTTAACCCAAAGGCCAGGAGAGTTTAACTTTTGTTTTAAAAATAGTCACTTCTCCCCAGCGATGATGAGACATTGGCGTTAGCAAAAAGAAAGTTTTCAACTATCTGACTTTAAAATCCCTTTCCCTGTCACTGTTCAGCTTTCAGTCTCTTGAGATGGTAACTTCCCTAGCTCACCAGTCACCATAGAGTCCCCCAGAGCAGACAAGATCTGGATTTATGATGCTAAAAGAAACACAGTTTTTTTTGCACAGAAACACTTCAGGTTTTCTCTTTATATCATACAGAAGGAAAATGAGCACAAAGCCCATTTTATTTCCCTGTGCAGGCCACCTTCAAATACCTTTCCTAGTGTTTTGCAGGCAACAGCAAAAAATTCTGTTGGGTAAAATGTTCCATTTTTACACCATACCTGTTTGCCAAATCCAGCTACACCTCTACCCCGATATAACGCTGTCCTCGGGAGCCAAAAAATCTTACCGTGTTATAGGTGAAACCACATTATATCGAACTTGCTTTGATCTGCCAGAGTGCGCAGCCCCGCCCCTCCCCGGAGCACTGCTTTATCGTGTTATATCCGAATTCGTGTTATATCGGGTCGCGTTACATTGGAGTAGAGGTGTATTTGCACACCACCTGGAGATCCGTATTCTGGTCTTTACAGAGTAATTGCTCCAGCTTATACACTACACACACGTTTTTGTCCACTCATTTAAAAAAAGCACAACACCCCAGCTTTTGGTGTGCACAATAAACTATACCCCTCCACCCCAATGGCCCTGTTCTGTGCAGATGGGATCCTGGTGATGGCGTGTGGGTGAAGGATGTGCTCGTATATACAGTGTTTGTCAGCTGCTTGGTCACATGCAGTGCTGAAAAATCTGGCCCTGTGCTCGCTAGAGGGAGTGTAACTGTCCTGTGATCTAAATGCCTAACTCTTGGGAACCTGCCCATCCCTCTGAGTATGGCCCAATAGCTAGGGGACCAACCAGGGACTCGAGGAGAGCTGAGTCCAATTCCTGCTCTTCTGCAGACTCCCTGAGTGACCTCACTTTGGGCGAGTCATTTAGTCCTTCTGTGCCTCAGTTCTCCAGCTGTAAAATGGGGGTGTTAGCACTGCCCTACCTCACTGGGTTGCTGTGAGGACTGAAGGTTGTTAGTTGCTTAGGCACTAGGGTAATGGGAGCCAGAGGTAGATAAGTTCACAGCTTTGCCCCCAGGCTCTGCACATGAGTGGAGAACGCTGTGTCTATTAATCAGACCGATCATCCATGGGCGCCTCCCACCCCCAGTGCTGAGATGAGAACTGCAATGCTACAGCCCTGTGTCCCTGGACCCCAGCATGCACAGTGCTGCTCTCCCATTTCCCACACATACAAAGAACCACGGCCACAAACAACTCTACCCCCCATCTACAATTTCCCTCTGCTCAGACAAGAGCCTACGAGCGGCCGAGTTCCTCCCGTGCGGTACTGCGCACTCTGAGCTCCCGCTGAATCAATAGGCGTGGAAGGCACTCAGCACCTTGCCATGTGAGGTCTCTTGTCTCATGTCAGCCTCCTCTCTGCTCCTTCCCACAGTCTTGCTGGGGTTGGCAGGGGAGCTTTCTTCTCTGCCTCTCCTGTCATCTGGAGCACTGTATCCCCCTCACATCTTCCTCTCTCCATCAGAGCCCTGATGGAGACATTTCTTTTCTCCCTGAGCCATCATTTAAATCCTCTCTCTCTCTCTCTCTCTGGTTTTATTTAACTCTACGGCTTCCCTATTCTACACTGCAAAGACCTTTGGGATTCCTTGTGGGTACAGAAGGTGTTGTCTAAACTAAACTTACATTGAAGGTCGGTGAATCTGACAGAGTGTGCTGCATGAAGTTACGCGACATAACAGAGAGTACTTTTCTTTACACACCACCACCACAGGCTAGCTGGCTTCTCTTTGGCAGGGTTAAACTCAGCAGCTGTACCTGAAAGCCTCTGAGCTGCATGGGCAGTGACCAGAAAAACCCCATAAACTTCCTCCGTAGCCACTTTACAGAGGCCCTTCAGGCTGGGGCAATATCCCCGAGAGAGATGTGTTGTTTTTGTTTTTACCTAACAAATTGTAGCAGGAACAGAATGTACCTGGTTAGGCTGCAGGGGAAACATAACTCCACATTCTCCCACTGATCTGTCCTTGGGACTTAATCTCCAATCTGTTATCGCAGCCCCGATCAAGCACTGGGAGTCAGCGATTCGGGTAACAGGCATTTTGATACCCCCTCAGGCTAGTCTTTTCCACGACCAGCTCCGGGTGGTTCAAGCCAATTAGTTTTCCCCATGAGTAATTGATTAAGTGGCGGCCAGTTGGTTCGTTCTGGTTTCGCTGTGTATAAAGTCTCCATATGTGCCTGTGTGCCGCCTATAGTATCACAGCCTCTCCATCGCTTGACCAAAAGGGACCCAGGCAGAGAGAAGAGCAGGGATAAAATGGCGGAGTTGCCAGCCATAGAATTAACTGACTTGGCCCATGCCAATGGCAGGTTCACCATTAGCACCCTGATCAGCACCGAGGACAGCAGCAAACCTCACTATGGACAGCCTGACGCTGCCGCTTGTGAGGCTACCCATCCCAGCCACCTCACCCACAGCAGCACTTTCTACATGAGGACCTTTGGCTACAACACCCTGGATGTTGTGCCGACTTATGAACATTACGCCAACACGAAGGTGGCGGGTGAAACCAATAAAGTTAGGCCCACGCTGGCAGATCTACATTCTTTCTTGAAGGTAAGCTATGTAGAAGGACTGTCTCTAGCATCGGTTTACTTGAGCAGTGCTGTAGTTTGTGTGTAGCAAATACTCTTTATGTACTTATCTCTGTCCCTGTAGAAGAAACATAGACTTTGAAATGAGCCTTCTGCAAACACGGGTCATAGAAAGATTCGCTGAATAACTGTGAACCATGGGTGGAAATCGAGATCTGTTCTTAATCTATTTACTAACAAGCAACAAAGGTGAAATCTGATGCTTTAGGTCACTGCAAATGGTTCTCCAGCTCTATTGCGGGCAACCAACAACTTCTGAGCGCTGAGTGCCCTGTTTCCACCAGGAGAAAATGTTGGCCGTTGAGACTTAAATATCAGGCAGATGGATCAGCTCATGACTCCATCAGCTTGTGTCACCATCCTGAGAGGTCAGAGGTAAATCACACGGGCGTATAGGATGAATATTGCTGCAAAATGCATATTCCCAAACTGAACATAAAACAAAGGTGTGGTAGGATTGTAACCAAACTACCCTCATGCTCTGCAATATTTTCACATCGATGACATTCTACTGCATATGAAGAGGAAGCCTGTCTGCTCTCCTATAATAACATGGCCTTGCTTTCATCATGTTCACATACAGTGAAATCTGTCTGTCTCCAGCTTGGGAATCCGCCCCCTCCTTGGTCCAAAACGTCCCATAGCTGATGCTCTTCAGAGCAGATTTTCCCTCCAGGCATGGTGAGGAGTGGCTAGGGAAGAACTGTAATGGCCAGGATGGGGATTGGGAGGGTCACCTGCATTCGGATGTATTTCTAAGTTATTCCAAGGGTGCCAAGAACATGTAGCTAGGTGCCCCCCTTTTTAGCATTTTTATAAACTCAAGTAAATAAAGAAGAGAAATGACCTGACAGAGGACTTGCAAAACTCAGTTGCTTCCTAACAAAGTCAGGGCTGAGATCTTTGCCCGTGAGTCTGCCTCATAGATGGTGGTGTAGGGTTATGTTTCCTTGTCCCATCCTTTTCTTTCCTGGGGGATAAAAAGAATGCTGTTGAAGTCTCTCTGCACAGTTATGGTCATTTACCTTGACCTTGCAGCAAACAGAGGTATGCTTGTGGTTTTTAATTTTCAAGTGAAATTAGCAGTGCTGAAAGTTCCTGGCTTGATGGACCTAGAGACTCAAATCCTGTATTTATCCAGCAAACGGACTGACTATGGGCAGGGCACGTTTTCCCTAAACTGCCCCCACTATTGTACCCCTTACTTGGAGGGGGAAGAGGGCTCCATGGTCTGTAAAATCTCTGGCCTTATGGGTATCTATCTGCATCCCAACCCAGAACCCCCTTCTCTGTTGCCAAAGCTCTTAAGAAAGTAGTCATGGAGGTTCAGTAATTTCAAACAAGTTCTCTTACTCTAGGTATTGGGAAGGGGTGTACCAGCATGACACAGACGCAAGCAGTAAAAACGGCAGGGCTGTGTAACATGGTCAGTGCTCATCCTATTGCGAGTCACTCTGGTGTCGTGGTCTGGGTCACAGGCCTCCTCCATTGGGGTCTTTTGCTATCTCAGCATTCCATGGATGAGCTGAAGATGGACTCATTTCTCTGCAGCCTATAGTCAACAAGCGCCTGGGGCTCACTGAAACCTGCCATCATCTTGCCCCCGTGCCCAGAGATATTTGTGTTGTCCTTACGCTGCTGATGAAAGCTCCTTTTGAGGCATCCTGTGAACAGTGTTTTTCCCATGCTTCCCACTATGGGGGATTTCAAAAGCACCTAGGCACCTAAATCCCACTGAAAACACCTGCATCTTTAAGCACCTAAATACCTTTCAAAAATCTGGTCTTTAGCCTCTATTCCCCATCTGTAAAATGAGGATAACAGCACTTCCCAGCCTCCCAGGATTGTGTGAAGATAAATGCACTAAAGATTGTGAGGTACTCAGATCCCATAGTGATGGGGGCCGTGTCAGGCCTTAAAACAGACAGATTGTGAAAATCTCACCCATAGTTCCTTATATTTTCACAGCACTGCACAAATATTAACTAATTGTGAAGCAAAAAAAACCCAAAGTCTCCACTCCCCAGATCTGCTACTACTGATGAAAACCACTATATACAAGCTAGGTATTATTGTTATTTGCAAGTTCTGATTTACAGTATTTTAAGAAGAAACAGGAGTACATATCTACTTGTGTGGTGGTGTTATTCATTATTTGTATGATGATGGTGTGAACTGAAATCGGGGTCCCATTGTGCTCAGTGGTGTACAGAAACCTAGTGAGAGACAGATCCTGCCCGGCCAAATCTTGTTAGCACAACATTCCTGCTCTAGGATTAAAAATTTCAAACGGGAGGGTTGAAAATTGACAAGTTCTAATATGTTCCCAGACATCTTCCTTTCTGTCCCACCTCTATGCCCTGTTGTAACTTGATTTCTCTCTGCTTTCTCAGTCGGACAATAGCCGTCTCCACAACCCAGTGTACGAACCCCAGAGAAGTAACGGCCTGAGTGATGAAACGACCGAGGAAGATGGTGGTGAGGGTGGGGAAAAGCCTCCAGGCGAGCCGGTCCGATTTGGATGGGTGAAAGGAGTGATGGTAAGGTTTTTTTGTTGTGTACAGACCAGAAGGAAGTGTAATGGGAGAGCTTGGGTCCTATGCTGGCAAAAATTCACGTATAGCCCAATCTTGCCACCTTCACTCTCCCCAAGTTGTAGATCACTCCTCAAGCCATTCCATTGACTTCAATGGAACCATGCACAGGGTAATGGCTTGGGTTTGAAAGTCAATGCAGAACTTTTCTTCTCCCTGGGTTCAATGTATAATCTAGCTTGTATTGGTGTGACAGATCGATGCAATCCTGATGCCTCATATGCCTAGTATAACCTGTTATATTAAGCCACATGATGGCAGGGAAGTTCAAGCTTGACAAATGGAGGGTACTGTAGGTAGGGAGGAAGGATGGTCCAGGGGCTAGGGGATCAGTCTAGGTTCAATCTGGTTCAATCTTGTGTTCTGCTGCAGGCATTCTGTGTGTTACAGAGCTACCCTGTGCCTCAGTTTCTCACCTGTGAAATGGAGATAATAGCACTTTACTTGCTGTGAGTTTAAGTACATTAAAGAGCGTGGGATGCTCGAACACTAGGGTGACAGGGCAAGTAGAAGACAGATTCAAAGGAAACATTTGAATAATTCTTGCACATTACTAGGTTCTAACCTGACTACATCCACTGGGTGTCTTTGCAGCAAACTCAGGGAGGTCTCTGCTCAAGGTGCCGAAAAAACAATCAAACAAATGGTTAGGAGGTGTAAGGAATGGGATGAGAAATCATACTGAAAATACGTTCATTTAATTATATGTCAATCAGATGCCTTGACCTGGAATACCGTTCAGTTCTGGTCACCCTATTTCAGGCAGCATTCAACAGAAAGAGTTGGGGGTGGGGCGGGGCGGGTCAAAGACCAGTGATGAAATAATTAGGGGCATAAGAAGGCTTCCATATGAAGGGAGATTGAATTGGGTCTGTCATCTTAGAGATGAGACAGATCAGAGGGATGGGATAAAAGTATACATAATAATGAATGGTCTAGAGACGGTAGATGAGACTTTTCTATTAACCCTTTCTAATAATTAAGGCTAGGTTTTAATCATGGGTACTTTTAGTGAAAGTCATGGACAGGTCATGGGCAGTAAACAAAAATTCACGGCCCATGACCTGTTCATGACTTTTACTATATACCCTTACTAAAACTTAGCGGGGGGAGGCTCAGGGGGACAGCCTGGAGGGCGCCATGGGTATTGGGGGGGTGCCACGGGTGCTGGGGGGGTGCGGGTGCTCGGCGGCGGTGCAGCCTGGGGAAGCGCCGCGGTTGGTCAGGGGAGCTGTGGCCTGGGGGAGGTGCCATGGGTTCTGGGGAAGGTGGGGCGCAGCCTGGGGGGACATCTCAGGTGCTGGGGGGGGTAGCCCGGGGTGGTGCTGCAGGTGCTATGGGGGTGGGGTTGGCAGGGCTGGGGCAGGCTCCCTATCCAGCTCCTAGCTCCACATGCTGCCTCCGCTCCACCCCAAGTCCCGGTTCCTGAAGCTCCCATTGGCTGGGAACCGCGACCAATAGGAGCTGCGGGGGTGGTGTCTGTGGGCGGAGGCAGCACATGGAGCTGGGAGCTGAGGGAGGGGAGTTGCTGTCACCCTTCCAGGGAGCTCCCCCCAGGTAAGCACCGCCCTGCACCCCAATCCCCAGCCCTGAGCCCCCCCACACCCAAACTCCTGCTACGACTGGCCCAGGGGCTGCCCGAGCTGCTCAGGTGGTTCCCGGGCCAGCGGCACCAGGCTGCTGCAGAAGTCATGGTGGTCACGGAATCTGTGATTTCTGTGACCTCCGTGACAAACTCGGAGCCGTACTAATAACACAAGAACAAAAGGAACATTCAACAAAATGGAAAAGTGACATATTCAAAAAACAATAAAAAGAAATGCTTTTTTTAAAAACACAGAATGCACAATGAGCCTGTGGAACTCATTGCCACAAGGTATCAGAGGTAGCGCCTCCAGGTAGAGAGGAAGGATGGTCCTGTGCTCAAGGCATTAGCCTGGCCCCTGAGAGACTCGGGTTCAATCGTCTGCTCCACCACAGACTTCCTGTGTGATTTTGGGGAATTCACTTAGGCTACATCTACACCTCAAGCTAGGGGTGTGATTCCCCTGCTTGTGTACGTGTCTTTGCGCTAGCTCTCCTCAAGCTGGCGTGAGTATAAATAGCAGTGCAGCTGCGGTAGCATGTGTGGTAGAGGCAGTGAAGACACGGAGGAGCCATGCCGAGTACAGACCCACCAGCTTCAGGTTCGTAGATTCCAAGGCCACCTGGGGCCATTGTGCTCATATAGTCTGAATGCCTGTATAACAAAGGCCAAAGAACAGCTATAAAATAATGATAGAATCATAGAATATCAGGGTTGGAAGAGACCTCAGGAGGTCATCTAGTCCAAACCCCTGCTCAAAGCAGGACCAATCCCCAGACAGATCCCTAAATGACCCCCTCCAGGAGTGAATTTACAACCCTGGGTTTAGCAGGCCAATGCTCAAACCACTGAGCTATCCCTCCCCCGCAAAGGAACAGTGACCTGTTTCTGCCTGGTTTTGAACCGGTGACGTTTCGTGTGTTAGGTGAACATGATCACCACTACACTACAGGAATTTTTTTTTCTTCCCTACATCAGATCTTTTAGAAAACACATCCAATCTTCATTTTAAAATGGCCAGTGAAGGAAAATCCACCAGGCCCCAAGTACATTGTTCCAACGATTAATGACAGCCACTCTTAAAAACGTATGCCTTATTTCTCAGTCTGAATGCTTGGCTGGGTGGGTATGCGCTCTGCACAGCTCAGCTGTGTTGCCGCTACCAGGGCTACCGTGGCTACATTGCTACGTATACTCGAGCTTGCGTGAGGACGTGTGCGTGAGCAGGGAAGTCCCACCCCGAGCTTCATCTCTCTGTGCCTGTGTTCCCCAACTGTAACAGGCGGATAATAGCAATAGGCCTGGCCTACCTCAGAGCGGTATTGTGAGAGTAAATATACTGAAAGATTGTGACGTGCTCAGCTATGGCCCCGGGGGTCATAGAAATACCGAACACAGACAGATCACTGAGGCCGAGAGTTTAGCAGGATTCCGAACAGTGTTGCCAAGTGGACAGGGCAATGGACTAGGATTCCTGAGACCTGGGCTCCATTCCCGGCTTTGTTGCTGGGAGGCTGGGAGCAAATCATGTCCCTGCCCTGTGCCTCAGTTTTCCCATCTGTAAAATGGGAGATGATGATACTGGCCTCCTTTGCAAAACTCTTTGAGATCTACTAATGAAAAGTGCTAGATAAGAGCTAGACATTGACATGGATAACACGGACACCACAGAGTTGCAATAGGAAGGATTAAAAAACTTCTAGAAGGGAAATGAAGCCTCACGGTTCAGGGCTTAAACCAGCCTCTGACTGATGAGGTTAGGAGGAAAACTTCCTGTGAGCAGGTCACTCCACTTCATGGGGCTCAAGCATTTGGCACTAGCCACTATTGCAGATCGGATATTGGACTTGAGAGCCCTGGGTCTGAGCTGGCAATTCTGCCGTTTCGCTATTCACGCGTACGGTCAGCTGTGCAGATGATCACATGAGATTAACGTGGCTGTTTTCCTTCTAGATCCGATGCATGCTGAACATCTGGGGTGTGATTCTCTATTTGCGATTGCCCTGGATCACTGCACAGGCAGGAATCGGTAGGTGCAGCTCCATTCTCTATAGTTACCAGCAACTATGATCTTGTTTATATAATTTGTCTCATTGTAAGCCCTGACAGAGTGCTTGGCACTATTCAGGACACAATGAAAACAGTCTCTCCCTTCCCCGATATCCTTAGGCCCAATTTTTAAAGGTGTCCAGGGGTTGCTGCGCCCTCATTGCAAAGCCTAACTGATTTAGGAGCCTAAATCTAATTTTCTAATGTTATTTAGACACTTAGGAGCCCAAATCCCATTGACTGAGGGATTTAGTTCCTAAATCTTTTTTGAAAATAAGACATAGGCTCCTAAATCTGTTAGTTGTTGCAACACTTAGCTCAGCAACAACTACATACTTTTAAAAATCTGGGCTTTGGTGTCTATGGGGCAGCAATGGAGAAGATGGGATAGGGATATAGACAGAGGCAGATGCAATATAGAAATTGGGCTCAGAAGAGGACATGGTCCTTTATAGACATCCTGGAAGAAGTGGGTTGAGGGGAAGGGTGACTTTATGGATCAATGTACGGGGTGCCAAGGAAAAGGGTCAGAGACGGTGGTATTGCTTTCTTCACCAGGCAACAAAGTGCAACTAATTCCTCTTCTCTGCAGCACTCACATGGCTGATTATCTTCATGTCTGTGACGGTGACGAGCATCACAGGCTTGTCCATCTCTGCCATCTCCACCAACGGCAAAGTGAAATCAGGTAGTGTTTGGCTCCCATTTTCCTTTTGAGGGCTCTCATCGCCCACCGTACACTCCTGCTCCCGCTGAGTCCCTCGCATTCTGGTACTTTACATGCTGTGCTCGGATACAGCTCTGGTAAATGCCACTGAAAAGAGAGATGGAAAAGACCTCTTAGGCTATGTAGTGTCACCCCCATCTCTCTGCCCAGTACGGGACTGTTCCCTATATAGTGCTTGATGCATCTCAAGAAAGTTTGGGGGCTCTGCTTACCAAAAGATTGAGCTTTCAGTAGGACGGTGGGCAAAATACCTGGATGTATTAATAGGGGAATATCGAGCAGGATCAGGGAGTAGATATTACCTCTGCATACATCAGAGGGGAGACCACTGCTGGAATACGGTGTCCGGTTTTGATGTCCATACTTTCAAAAGGATGTTAAAAAACTGGAGAGGATTCAGAGAAGAGCTTCAAGAATTCATTTGTGGGCTGCAAATGAGAGACTTAAGGAGCTCAATCGATTTAGCTTAGGAGGAGGTTAAAAGGTGATTTAATCATGGCCCATAAGTACTTACAGGGGAGAAGATATCTGACACGAGGGGGCTCTTTAGTCTAACAGGCGAAGGCATAACAACATCCCAGAGCTGGAAGCTGAAGTCAGCAAAGCTCAAACTGGAAATAAGAGGCCACTTTTCAACAGTGATGGTGACTAACCATTAGAGCAGCTCACCAAGAGATGTGGTGGATTCTCCGTCACTTGGAATCTTTAAGTCAAAACTGGATGCCTTTCTAAAGGATTCGCTGTAGTTCAACCACAAGTTACTGGGTTCAGGATTGATTCAGGAATCACTGGGTCAAACCAGGGGCGCAACCGGAATTTTCCTAAGGAGGGAGCTCCGGTTCCTTAATAAGTAGCAGAGGTCACGTTCCAAAAGGCATGCGTTCCCCCCTTCGCATTTCCAAGCACCACATATACATCCTCACCAAGCCACCATCTCTCCTTCTGGAGGCTGTGTGAGGAGATGAGGTCTTGGGAAGCCAGGAGCTGGGAATGGGGGCAATCTTTCTGGTGTGAGGGGAGAGGTCCTGGCTGGCCCTGGTCTCTCCTGTGAGAGAGGAGGGGGAAGAGATCCCAGCTGGCCCCAGTCTCTCTGGTTGGAGGGGCAGGGGGACAGGTCCCAGGCAGTCCCTCTCACCTAGGGCTGGTCCTTGCATATGGGGAAGAAGTGGTGATAGAAGCTGTCAGCGATTGGCTTGAGGGGAGATGTCTCCTCCTGAAGCTCTGGCCCCCGGAATCCCCAGACCCAGCTCCCTGCTTCCCAGAACTCTGGACCGCCATCTCCTCAAGCTACCGCCTCCATCTCTTCTGCTTCCGGGCCCACTCTGGCAGGAGAGAGAGCAGCTCAGCAAGGACATTCCCATGACTTGTAGTGGAGTCTCCGGACAAGGGGGGCAGTCCAGGCTGAAACTGAAATATTAAATCTGACGTGTTAAATAAAGGTTCAGTCTGTTTTTGTCTTATCAACACCTAGTTCCCTCACGCCAATGTCTCAAGAGTTTGCTCTTGTCTAGTTCTAAGTCTCCCTTCAAACTCTTCCTTCTCCTAGGCAGGGATTCTTTAGGAGCACAAAAACAACAAGGAGTCCGGTGGCACCTTAAAGACTAACAGATTTATTTGGGCATAAGGTTTTGTGGGTAAAAAGCCTCACTTTTTCAGTGACATCTGAAGAAGTGGGTTTTTTACCCACAAAAGCTTATGCCCAAATAAATCTGTTAGTCTTTAATGTGCCACTGGACTCCTTGTTGTTTTTGTGGATACAGACTAACACGGCTACCTGCTTAAGATAAAGGAAGCAAAGTACAGACAACGATTCCTGGGACTCTGGGTAGCGGTATAAACCACCAAATCCTGAAGAGAAGGCGGGCAAGGGTCTTAAAACAAGGCAAGAATCAGGGGAAAACATAGATGCCAAGGCAAAGGCCGATATGCTTAATAGCTATTGGGCTTCAGTCCATAAAAAGGAATAATAGTTAATGTGGAAGTAAGACAAGGCAGGATCTGGGACGAGAACTGGTTCATCATCACTGAACTGTTTTCAGAGAAGCACACAATTAATGCTTTTTTAAATTAGAGATGGGCCTGACCCAAACCCCAGATCCAGACTTGCCTGAACTTTGATGTTCAGATCCTGATAAATGGCCTTGTAAAATGTTGAGCCTCTTTTCCTATCTCCCTGTGTCATTGTCACTCACCACACATACAGTGCATGGATGTAGGTAGGCGTCTGCCAACACAGGCCATAGTGTCCTACTTGTTATTAATTTGTGTAGAGGACAAAGAGCCATTTAAGGGCATGTTGTTCGGTTCGTGAATATCTGTGATCACCTCAGGTACTGCAATGTTGATCCTGCGTGTGCAGTATTTAAACAATGGAATGTTTCTGGCACGCGTTAGGTGGCACCTATTTCCTTATCTCAAGAAGCCTCGGTCCAGAGCTGGGTGGTTCCATCGGTCTCATATTTGCCTTTGCGAATGCCGTGGCAGTGGCCATGCACACGGTGGGCTTTGCGGAAACTGTGCGCGATCTGCTCCAGGTAAGGAATCAGAGTTGTTTCACGGTGCCCCTCCCCCAATCTCATCCGCAAGGACTTGTACCATGTCAACATTTAAGTTCTTCTTAAAGACCAACTTCTGCCATGCTGCCAACAGTGAACAGTTGTACAAAAAAATCTGTATTTGTTCTTCCTCTTTTCCCTCAACTTGTCTGTCATTAAACTTTTTGCTCTTTACATGCCATTGCGTGTGCATTAATTATAAGCAAATTAATTATCAATAGTTGACACATGATTGGTAATTAATCACTTATAGCCACTGATTAGTTATCAATACTCAAATCAATAACCAACAATTAATAATCAACAGCAATCAATAACCATGGAAATCATGCTAAGTAGAGATGACAAGGACCTAGTTGCTTTTCCACTCCACGTGTTTGCCAGTTCAGGCTTGTTCCATACAGCCTGCTCCTGCCTGGTTTGAAACTGGAAATTGTTTTTTTATTATTAATTTGTTTTAAAGATCATTTTAAAGCTGTTTATTTAGGAAGTATAAATAACTTTACAGATCCATACCTTAAACACACCAAAATGATATAGACCCATCCATTCACGCAGTGCTCTATGGAACTTAGGTAAGACGCACCCCCGGCATTGAAGAACTCCCAGTCAATAGTATGGCCATAATGTTTTAATGTAAAAGTCTAGAAAAATGCCTGGCAGACCAGATTTAAGGTAACCGCCAACTGAAATGACTTAGCTGGTTGAATGTTGGTGCAAAAGAATGATGGTTTTATAGGCCCCTTCATTCTCTATTGGTTGTTAATAAGAATTGGAATTTAAAAGTACATAAAGACAGAGGGAAGTGAAGGAATCGGATGCTGTCTGTATGGTTAGGGTCAACTCTGCCATCAGCTTCCAGAACTGCAGACTGCTGACTTGGGCTTCCTTTCTCAGGAACATAACTCGCCCATTGTAGACCCCACAAATGACATCCGCATCATCGGGGTCATCACAGTGACAGTGCTACTTGGGATTTCCTTGGCCGGAATGGAGTGGGAAGCAAAGGTAATGGTCTCAATTGTTAGGATGAACCTAGGAATTTCCATACCACAACACAGCCATGGTCCAGCGAGCCCAGTATCCTGCCTCCAACAGCAGCCAATACCAGTTGCTTCAGGGAATAGTGGAGCCAGACCCTCCCTCCAATAATGCACCTAACTGCAAGGTTCTTACCACCAGGAAAATTCTTCCTGACCCTTCCTGATGATTGGTTTTTGCCCTGCAACATAAGCGTTGCCAGCCCAGATATAATTTTCTTCTGACTGTTGAAAGTGTGGAATCTGTTCTCATTTACACGCATATCCAAATCTCTCTTGAATCTTATCACCACATTTGCCTCAAGGCTGTCCTTTGTCTGGTTCGTTTGTTCAGATGCTGCTATTTGCCTCCTTTAACTAGCCACAAAAGTCTGCTGGCCAAGGAACAGACAAACACAGATTCAAGGTTCATGCTGCATCTTGTAATATGGGTCTAGCCAGAACTGCTGCTTAGCTCAGCCTGTTAGGTTGGATGAGATTCATCTGTCCCCAAGTTTAGGAGGGGCGGGAAGCATGGTATGGAGGAGAGGTTGGCTCGCTCCTTTGCACCAACTAGCATTAGGGTATAAGCAGCATTGCAGCTTGCGAGGAATGCACAGGTTACTTACCCTGACCTACTAGTCACAAGGGCAGACTATTGCTTCAGGGGGCCTGTTTGCAGCTTCCCCATTGGAAGATGGGTGAAACTTCCTTAGGAGTTGCCCGCCTGCACTTTTCACTCCTCCCCTTTGTACAGCGTTTGCAGCAGGTACTCAGCCAGCAGATTGTTCAGCCGGATTCTTTTGGTCTCTCAGGCACAGGTGCTGTTCTTCATAGTCATCATGATTTCCTTTGTAAATTACATAGTGGGGACGGTGATTCCAGCCTCCGAGGAGAAGCAGGCAAAAGGATTCTTCAGTTACCGAGGTAGGTTCCAGCGGTGGCTAACGGCAGGAGTTTGGGGGGAACTCGTACTAATTCTCATGGATGGCTGGGAGAGCCGGCGTGAATGACTGAGATTTGCAAATAAACAGTGAAAAGGGAAGACAAACGCGTCCTCTAATGGAAGCGGAAGGATGGTTCAGTAGTTAGGGAGGCAGCCTGGGACTGGGAAGGCTCAGGTTCAAATTCTTGCTCGGCATCAGACTTCCTGTGTGATCTCATGCAACTTGTCTCTGTGCCTCAATCCACACCTGTACAATGGGGATAATAGAACTTCTCTACCTCCCAGGGGGGTTGTGAGGACCAAGACATTAAAAGATTGTGAGGCGTTTGGGTACTAAGGTGGTGGGGGGCAGATAAGCATATAAACTGGCTAGAATGTATTTTCAGTCAGTTTACTGTGTCGGCTGGAGTTTAGTTCTAACGATTATGGTGGAATGGGAACAAAACCGTAGTTAAGGTTGCACCAGAGTTTTCTGTTCCATGGGACTTTTAATTATGATAATGTGCGAGTAAATGTTCTCCGGTCCATGTCACAAAACGAGGAAGTCTTGGTGCTCGGCGTTCTCGCCATAACCTCCGCTGTTCCATTTCGGTGGAGAGGGCCTGGTTAGCTTTGTGTGGCTTATATGGCTTTTGGATCATAGAAGATTGGGGTTGGAAGGGATCTCAGGAGGTCATCTAGTCCAATCCCCTGCTTAAAGCAGGACCAACCCCAACTAAATCATCCCAGCCAGGGCTTTGTTCTACTGTACCAGCATGATTATGGTTTATTGACACATGTAGATGAATGCTCTAGTACAGTGCTGAACTGAACGTTTCCATACGGTCACTTTGTTCTCAAGGTCCTGGCAGTTAGTCGATAGTAGGGCAGCATGCAACAGAAATGTATTTTGTTCAGCTCTGTTACGTGCCTGCCAGGAAAACAGCCTCTCGTGTTAAGCGCCCGCTCTGGCCTGCTTGTTCGGCGTAAGAGCGGTGCTGTGACGAATAAGGCTTCTGGGGAGACAATGACACTTTCCTGGTTGTTCTGCTGAACGTTTGCAAGATGCTGGAGGCCCCTAAGGATCTACATCCAGGGACAGAGAGGTGAATGCTCCTGCAGTGTGTATGAGATGGACCAAGCCCGTGTGGCAGGGGACCCAGCCCAGTACGTGTTTCAGCCCAGGACTGTGCAAACCACTTTGGCTGAGTGAAGAGTGGGAGACCATTGGGACCCTAGAGTTCTTGTGGGTGTCATTTACCAAGCATGCAAGTACTGCACGTGCCTCGTTTTCATAGGTGCTCAGCATTCACAGATCCCATTGATTTCACCCCCGGGGATAAAACATGCCGGCATTTGTCTTAATTACCATTTGCTCTTTGACATAAGAAGGATCAAAATGAATCGGCTGAACGTGGCTATTTGTCACTGTCACACAGAACGCCCATTTATTGCCAGGGAAAGGGCTTATCACCGAGAGAGCTTGATGGATCAATGGGTGAAACCATCGTGATAATTAAGGCTGCGATTAAATGCTTCTCTTTCATTTAGTGAATTATGCCATTCCTGCTGGAATCATTCGAATCCCCTGGAGCAAAATCTCCAGACAGGCAGTGGCCGAATAATTTTTTATACCGAGAAGCATCTTTCATTTGGATTCCGCCTTGTCCACTTTAAGGCCCGACCCTATAACAGATTGAGGGGGGGGGAAATAGCAAACAAGAAATTAGCTCATGACACATCCTTTCCCAGCCCTCCTTAGACTTTGTGTCGTCTGTGTAGACCTTGATTTCACAATCAGATTGGCATGGGCAGATCCATACACCTGAGCAGGAACCCAGGCCCAAATTTGTAAACGTATTTAGGCGCTTTTGAAAATGGAATGTAACCCTCTAAATCACTTAGGCCTTGCTTTTAAATACCTTTAAAAAACTGGACACCTGTAGGCAAACCCACTGATCTGCTTGCCAAATCAGAGTCTTCGACTGTAAACTCGGATCTAACTTTATGACAAGAAAGCACCTAGCACGTTTTAGGGTGCCGTATAGATAACAGTAGAACGCTGCAAGGTTGCCTCCCAATAGCAGTTTGAAACACTGCAGCTACTGTTTTAACCATTGCCTTTAAAGTGAAAGAACCGTGATTAAAATGATCTAGTAGATTGGAATTGATAGAAAAATATTTTTCTCCTCCAGCTGATATTTTTGCTCAGAACTTTGTGCCAAATTGGCGCGGACCAGATGGCACCTTCTTTGGTTTGTTTTCCATTTTCTTTCCATCAGCGACTGGCATCTTGGCTGGAGCCAACATTTCAGGTGATTTGAAGGTAGGTTTTTACCACTCCCGGCCAATACAGCATCATAAGGCAAGCGGCACAGGTTGTGTGCTATAGGCAGGAATGAGGTTGTGTTAATCAAGCTCCGTGTGTCAGAAACGGGCAAACTCCAGAGTCGGTAAAACTTCCTTGATTGGCTTTTGATTTTGTAAATCCAAGAGCAGGCCTGGTTTGGATCCAGGCACCAGCGCTCCAAGCGCGTGCCTGGGGCGGCAAGCCGCGGGGGGCGCCCTGCCGGTCCCTGCGAGGGCGGCAGTCAGGCTGCCTTTGGCGGCATGCCTGCGGGAGGTCCGCCGGTCCCACAGATTCGGCGGCTATTCAGCGGCGGGTACGCCGAAGCCGCAGGACCAGCGGAACTCCCGCAGGCACGCCGCCGAAGGCTGCCTGACTGCCGTGCTTGGGGCAGCAAAAAACCTAGAGTTGCTCCTGGATCCAGGTCCCGCTATACTTGGATAATTTTTTGGTCTATCTCTGTTTTAGAGCTGGCCAAAATCTTTTTATTTTCAAAACATTTTATCCAAATTTTGAAAGAGCAGTAAAAATAATTAAAAAAAAAATAACAGATGTTTTATTCGTGTTTTGAGTGGCGATGGAACTGGTTGTCGTTTTTAAAGTTTTAACACACAAGTCCAAGAAATGTTCATGGATATATATGTTTTACTGCATTTCCAACTAGCTCTACTCAGTAGGTTCTTAGATCCTGATCCTGCTCTGTAGGGGTGGCACCCATCACCCGTATAGAGGCCCAGTTACATTAGCTCAGGGGTCCAATGCCCAAAGACTCTTGCAGGATTGAGGCATTAGATTGCACAGTGATGGATGCACTACAAGGCCTGGTCCACACTAAGCCCCCAGTTCGAACTAAGATACGCAACTTCAGCTACATGAATAACGTAGCTGAAGTCGAAGTATCTTAGTTTGAACTTAAAAGTACTTACCGCGGGTCCACACGTGGCAGGCAGGCTCCCCCGTCGACTCCACCTACTCCTCTCGCAGAGCAGGATTACCGGCGTCGACGGCGAGCACTTCCGGGATCAATTTATCGCGTCTAGACAAGACGCGATAAATCGATCCCAGAAAATCGATTGCTGGCCGCCAAACCAGCGGGTAAGTATAGACGTACCCCAAGACTCTACACAGAATAGAATTAATACTGGGCTACCTACATTTATTGCACAGGAACGGTTGAACTGATTTGGATAAATCAGTTTCCCAAGCAATAAATTGAACTATTTTTGAGGTTAGGGAAAGTTTGGTAAGCTTTGTTTCTTCAGTTTCACAGGACTCTGCCCTTCCTGCCTGGGGCATGAGTGCCAAAATCATGTGAGGAAGACCGTTCTCGCAGAAGTGTTGAGCTAGCTGCCGATTAGAAATGACTGGCAATCTCTCCCAAGAGCTTGGGCTCAGGAGAGTCCCAGCTCATTTTGCATCCCAAAGAAATGTCAGAAAGTTTGGCTATAAGCATCCGAATTGAATCCGTCATAGATGGGCCCAGCATGCTGATTTGGACTGGCACGCCAAACACTCCGGAGTTTGGATCCAAGGGCTTGGGTTGCATGATGCATGGAATCCCAGCCCTTCTGAAAGAGGAGGTGCTTATTAAAGACAAGAGCAACAAACTATAGATACAAACAAACAGGCTTCTGCACAGCCCAACACCCAACTTTGTCTTCCTTACTCAGGAGGGATCACACCCTCCCTTGTAATGACATGTTTATAAAGTTCAAGTTTAGGGCCATTTCTGGCACCTTGGATTCTTACGAGGATTGTCCAGCCTGACAGCTGTTTAGTTGATTTTATAGCTCCTATCTTGTCCCTGAGGCTTTACCTTACTTTAAACCTTAGTTCCTCCTGTACCACTGACACATTGGGCAGTCCGGTTCCTCTACTGATCAGAGTCACTCGCTAGTTGTGATACTTCTTCCCAGATGAGGCCAGTGCATGTGATATCCTCTGTCACTGTCACTTTAAATAGATTAGAACAACATTCCGTGCGACACACTCTGAGATTTCCAACACACCAGCCCATCAATCCCACTTCACCTCCAAACATCTAGCACCGAAAGTGGGCTTTGCAAAGTGCCCAGCAGGTTAAGAAATCCAGACTCTGGACAGTGCAGGTATCAGGTTGAAAGCTGCCTTGCGGTTTTTGAGTATCTCGGAGTGTTTTCTCTTCTTTATAGCTACAAAAATGAAAGGTAATTTTGTGGTGCCTATGGAATGCTGCTGTGTAACTCTGTGGTTGCCTTGCTTAGGATCCAGCCATAGCCATTCCCAAAGGCACACTGATGGCTATATTCTGGACTACAATATCCTATCTGGCTATTTCTGCTACAATTGGTAAGTAACATGCATAGACTTAATCAGTGGCAGTGGTGGGGGAGTGACATATGATGAAATGTCCATGGTTAATTACATGCTTTCATGTTCATTAGGGACGGGGCAATTCCCAGTTATCAGGAATCCTGGGACACAGGGCACTTTGATTCAGTCTGGCTCAGATATCCATTCTGATTCTGGGTACCAGCAGGGGGGCAGAGTAGAGGGGAGTTAAACAGTTAAAAAACAGACTAATAAAATTATAGTTTGATTTTTAAAAAATATCTCATGATTTTTTGAGATCTGACTCAGGAATTTTGACCTCTTGAGGTTGGCAACACTAAGTGTCTCCAAAGAATTCAACCCAGGTTTGACAGTGGGCCCAGTATGTACTATCCATGGCATGGAACCTTGGGAGCTTTAGTTGGCGCTGGGTGGATGCCTGTGCAGCGTGGACATGTCTGATACAGCTGAAAGTTACTTTAAAAACAAAACCTAGTACAAGGTAATTCCAGGAGCAGCCAGACACTTGGGACACTGGGCAAAATGAATGGGCAGTCTGTGATAGCCGCCAACTTGGTTGGCACATTGGAGATTGGAGGCCGCTGGTTCAGAGGGGAAAGCATAAGCGGCTACAGCTTGAGCTAAAGCTCTCTAGATGGGGACTGTGACAGACTTGTCTCCTCTGTGGATCAGGCACCTGTAAGACACACTCAATAGTGAGTTACAATTACACGGGGACCTTCGTTAAAGCACATCTGGGCATCATGCATCGTCTTGGAAAAGACAGATGGGAAGTGAATGGGAGCTGTTCCCTCCTAGGTGCCTGTGTGGTACGTGATGCCTCTGGGAGCCTGAATGACTCCATCCCTGTTGGCTCTCCGGGCTGCGAAGGACTTGCTTGTGACTACGGGTGGAACTTCACGGACTGTGCTCAGAAACAGAGCTGTCACTATGGACTCAGCAATTATTACCAGGTACTGTCACTCTGGTGCTCTCCGCAGCGTGGCTTAGAAGGCTCAGGCTGGGTTGGTCACTTTGGCCTGGGGTGCAGGAAATCATAACATATCTATTAACGATTTGGAGGATGGCGTGGATTGCACCCTCAGCAAGTTTGCAGATGACACTAAACTGGGAGGAGTGGTAGATACGCTGGAGGGTAGGGATAGGATACAGAGGGACCTAGACAAATTAGAGGATTGGGCCAAAAGAACAAGGACAAGTGCAGAGTCCTGCTCTTAGGACGGAAGAATCCCATGCACTGCTACAGACTAGGGACCGAATGGCTAAGCAGCAGTTCTGCAGAAAAGGACCTAGGGGTTACAGTGGACGAGAAGCTGGATATGAGTCAACAGTGTGCCCTTGTTGCCAAGAAGGCTAATGGCATTTTGGGCTGTATAAGTAGGGGCATTGCCAGCAGATCGAGCGATGTGATCATTCCCCTCTATTCGGCTCTGGTGAGGCCTCATCTGGAGTACTGTGTCCAGTTTTGGGCCTGACACTACAAGAAGGATGTGGAAAAATTGGAGAGCCCAGCAGAGGGCAACGAAAATGATTAGAGGGCTGGAGCACATGACTTATGAGGAGAGGCTGAGGGAACTGGGATTATTTAGTCTGCAGAAGAGAAGAGTGAGGGGGGATTTGATAGCTGCTTTCAACTACCTGAAAGGGGGTTCCAAAGAGGACGGTGCTCGGCTGTTCTCAGTGGTGGCAGATGACAGAACAAGGAGCAATGGTCTCAAGTTGCAGTGGGGGAGGTCCAGGCTGGATATTAGGAAACACTGTTTCACTAGGAGGGTGGTGTAGCACTGGAATGGGTTACCTAGGGAGGTGGTGGAATTGCCTTCCTTAGAGGTTTTTAAGGTCAGGCTTGATAAAGCCCTGGCTGGGATGATTTAGTTGGGGATTGGTCCTGCTTTGAGCAGGGGTTTGGACTAGATGACCTCCTGAGGTCTCTCCCAACCCTGATATTCTATGATTCTATGATAAGATTTCCATGGCTGGTGGTTCTCACCCTCTTCCCGCCCCAGTTCCTTTGCTGTACTCAGTTAGGTTTGGATTTAGTGCCCCTCAGAGTGGAAATATTAGCCACACCCCAATGCAGCCAGTAGCCACTGAGGGTGATAGGACAGTTGCCTGAATTGCTGCTTTCTCTCTTTTAAAAAAGTAACTTGCAACAAATGAGGAAAGGGTCCTACAGATAACAGGCTCTTTCTCCACGCCACCCTGATTCATTCCCAGAGCATCCTGTGACATGAACGAGGTAGGGCTCTGTGGGGGAAAAATAGCATGTGACCATGTAATTAACGACTGTATTATAATGCATATGCACTAGAGGGCTGAGTTAAGGTTGCACAGGCCACCTGAATACTGGCACTTCCTACCTTCTGAGTGCTTGACTTTGCAATCTTATTAAGGTTCTTTTGGCGTAGGGTGTTTTTGGCTGTAATAAGCTGTGCTCTGAGGAGCTCTGAGTGGTGGCTGTTAGAGTCTGAAGCTTCCAGTGGGAGGAGCCCAGGCTGTTAGATCACTCCAGCATCACCCTCGCCTATCTCCCCCTGTTTTTTCTGTAGAGTATGAGCATGGTATCTGGATTTGCCCCTCTGATCACGGCTGGAATCTTCGGGGCCACCCTCTCTTCTGCTTTGGCCTGCCTGGTCTCAGCACCTAAAGTCTTCCAGGTGAGATGGTGGCATGCTCCGGGGACCACGAAAACATCTGCAATGTTGTCTTTCGTGTATACAGTAAACATGAGTCCACAGCAAGCTAGCAGGTCACTGGCATTTCAGAGCCGTAATTACAGGCCGAGCCTCCACCACGCGTAGGCACTGTGAGTTCTATAACAAGCTGAATAACCACCGTGGTTGGGCCTCACAATGCATCACGGGTAGGGTGACCAGATAGCAACCGTGAAAAAACAGGACAGGGGGTGGGGGGCAATAGGCACCTATATAAGAAAAAGTCCCCCAAAAGGGAGTGTCCCTATAAAAACAGGACATCTGGTCACCCTAATCACTGGGAATTATCAGCTTTCTGGACAGATTCTTTAATCTGATACTCTTGATGCTTCTGGGGTTTTTGCCTGGAGCGTTGTTCCACCTGATCCCATCATGCAGTGCAGCCCATGAGCTGGGGGATATGCACATTCCTACTTTTTCATGCTATCCCCTTGGCTTTGCTCTACTTGGCTAATCCTAATGGGACAGATTCTGTCCTCAGTCACTCCCATGCAGCTTCTTTCCTTTCAGTGGGCTTGCGAGAGTATCAAGGAGGCAGAATATGGCCCATTGCTTTTGTTCATTTTATGAATTAAGAGAATTAAGGTGACATCTACTGCCCTTTCCATAGGGCCAGCCGTGATGGCAATGCCCCATCAGGTAGGGTTGTTACCACTGATATTGGGATGCAAGTCAGAGTTATTACAGATAGCGTTTCCAAAGCGAAGGGGACCTGATAGCAGGAACGGGCAAACTGGTTCTAAAAATATATCAACCCTCTAGGGCAGTGTTTCTCAAACTGGGGTCGCTGCTTGTGTAGGGTTTGTTTGTTTACCTGCCCCGTCCGCAGTCCGGCCAATCGCGGCTCCCACTGGCCGCGGTTTGCTGCTGCAGGCCAATGGGAGCTGCTGGAAGCGGCGGACAGTATGTCACTCGGTCCGTGCCGCTTCCAGCAGCTCCCATTGGCCTGGAGCAGCGAACCGCGGCCAGTGGAAGCCGCGATTGGCCGGACCTGCGGACGGGGCAGGTAAACAAACCGGTCCGGCCCGCCAGGGGCTTTCCCTACACAAGCGGTGTCCCCAGTTTGAGAAACACTGCTCTAGGATGGGGGCCAAATTCTGTTCTCACACTGTTGTAAATCTGGAGTAAGTCCACTCAAGAACAAGGCTATACACTGAGCCAGTGAAAGTGCTTGGAACTGAATCCTGCTTCAGTCGACGCTCGCTCTCAGCTCTAACCACTAGTCCGCAGCGCCTGTCAAGTCCAGATGACCTCTCTTTCTCTCCACAGTGCCTGTGCAAGGACCAGCTCTACCCTCTGATCGGCTTCTTTGGGAAGGGCTATGGGAAGAACGAGGAGCCCATCAGGGGTTACATGCTGACCTACATCATAGCAGTGGGGTTCATTCTTATCGGTAAGTGCCTCAGATTTAATAGGCTGCCAGATCCAGTAGGTAGTTTTCTCTGCTTTTTTTCGACTGGCTGATTAATGATCAGTGTGGTACCAAGTGGCTGTTTCTTTGTCAAACCAAATTCCTGCCTTTGTTAACTTCTTCCACCGTGGTATGAAAAATGGCTGCAGGTTTCCTACACACAGGAGGCCGGAAGATAAAATTATATTGTACCAAAGGATGAAAGCAAGGTAGATTGTGAGAGCCTAATTCTGCCCTCACTTACACACTTGGCTAGTCTGGAGTAGAGTTACTCCATATTTATGCCCAGGTGAGGAGAGATCGGGCCCAGAGTTTGTTCCAGGAAGGTAAGAAATAAGTCCAATCTAAGCGAGTTCTGTCATTTGCTCGGCAAGAAGAGTCCGACGGCTACTTCTCCAGTTGCACTAAAACCTGAACAGCCAAATTGGCGCTGAGCATCATTCCCTCCCACGGAGCTCAGTCGGACATGTGTTAAACCACTAAGCCACTGCTGCCTTTTTAACTGGAGTTTGATCTTGATGGAAGGGGCTAATCCTTCCCCATGTGCATTGTAATGTTAGGGGGAGAGTCCTTTCATAACACATACACAGGGAAAGAGAGAGCTGGACGTAGAATCCATATCCAATGGCTCTTCCATATCATGTTGATAGACATCTAGAAATCTCTACAAGAGCTGGATAGGGTGACCAGATGTCCTGATATTTAACCCTTTGTCCCGCATCCCAATCAATGTATGATCGGGACACCATTTGTCCCAATATTCAGGTAAGGAGGCGAGCGGGAGGGAGGCGTTGACTCCATGGTGCTCCAGGGTTGGAGCACCCATGGGGAAAAATTGCAGCCAAGCTCCCCCCTCCTCGCTTCCTTCTCCCTCCCCCCCCCCAGTGCTTCCCACCACCTAACAACTGTTTGGCGGCACTTAGCGCTTTCTAGGAGGGAAGGGGGAGAAGCGGGGATGCGGCGCACTCAGGGGAGGAGGTGGAGAAGAGGTAGGGCAGGGGCGGGCCTTGGGGGAAGGAGGTGGAATGGGGGCAGAGCAAGGGCGGATGCTTGGGCGGGAAGAGGCAGGGAGTGGGCGAGCACCCACCCGGCAGAGGGGAAGTCAGTGCCTGGGAGGAACGGGGGTGGACTGTGGGCAGGGCTGACGGCACCCCAATGTGTCCCGATATTTTAGTGTTGTGATCTGGTCACCCTATAGCTGGAACAATCAGCCAGGGCTTTCGGTTTCTTCTTGATTTTCACCTCTCTCCCATTCTCAGAGGCTTAAGTTGGCCAGGGTGTAGCATATGCACTAATGAGCCATCCCTCTCTTTTCTATCCCTGTAGCTGAATTGAACACTATTGCCCCAATCATCTCCAACTTCTTCCTGTGCTCGTACGCACTCATCAATTTCAGCTGTTTCCACGCCTCCATCACCAACTCGCCGGGTGAGTGATCGCTACGCTGGTGCTCGGTAGCTACACTCGTTTCGTTGGCTGGGCGGTAGTGTCCGGGGTCTCTGAGCTTTACAAGGCTGGGGTCACTCTCTGCAGCAGGGTAAGGTGTGGGACCGAGCCCAATGGTTTCATAGTAAGAAGCTCTTTGAGCTGAACAAGGCGATATGCTTGGAGGATCCATAGTGATTAGGAGATGGGGGAGTATCTTCAATTCCAAAAACAGAGCATCTCTGGGTGGGGGTGGTTGGGTACAGGTATCTGCTCCTACTCTGAGGGATGTCAGGTTCTTTCTCCACCCCTGCCTTTGTCTCCCAGGGTTACAAAGAAAGCATGAGCCACTGATGAGCCTAGGACTTGAGAGACGTGGGGGTCACTTCCCTACTCTGCCACATACTTCCTGTGTGACCTTGGGCCAGTCACTTAGCCTTGATGTGCGTCATCTGTACAGTGGGGATAACTGCCTTGCCTCCCAGGGGTGTGGTGAGGATAAACACATTAAAGGTTGTGAGGTGCTCGGTGTGGTGGTGATGGAGGCCAGACAAATATCTAAGATCGATAGGGTGCCCCTGTTCTACTCTCTCTCCTTAGAGGCTGAAGGACCCCTCCCCCAGGTGTGAGGGAAGAGTTTGGCCGTGTGAGTGATGAATGTATTTTTGTGTCATGTCCACGCAGGATGGAGACCATCCTTTAGATATTACAGCAAGTGGGCTGCGCTCTTCGGTGCTGTCATCTCTGTCGTGATCATGTTTCTATTGACCTGGTGGGCAGCCCTGATAGCCATTGGCATCATTGTCTTCTTACTGGGATACGTGCTCTACAAAAAGCCTGGTGAGTAACGGGGGCTCCTTGTTCTTAAGCAGACAGCGGCGCTGGTGAAAATGCCAGACTGAGAGATCTGAAGTTATTGGTCTCAGAGCAGGGCAGCATCAGTGCAAGATTCCGCCACACTCTCTCCTGCCAACGTGCCCTGCCAGGTCTGCCCGCAAGGCATTCAGCTGGGGGAGAGGTTTCTATGACGTGGCCAAGCCTGCAGTAGTAACTGAACCCAAACCCTCCAACTAAACAAACCAACGTGTGCACAGCCAGGCTCTCTGGAGCAACCCTACAATAACAAAGCAGCACGTGCCCGTGCCCAGTGCATTGCCGGCATCACTCCTATTTCTGTTTTTAAATGGTCTGATATTTTCTGAATGATTGTTCCTCTGCAGAAGTGAACTGGGGCTCGTCTGTGCAGGCAGGTTCGTACAACTTGGCCCTGAACTATTCCGTGGGACTCAACGAAATCAGCGAGCACATTAAGAACTACAGGCAAGTAAGCTGTGTGGAGGATGATGGCAAGGGAACATTACCCTCATCCCCAAACACGGAAGGGGCCCATGTATTTGAATAAGTCCCCCATGTTCCCCTCAAAGGCATAACCAGCCAACTGAACCCCAAATGAGCCTCAACTGAGCTTGAGTAAATTTGTTTAAATTTCTGCTCCTCTCTGCACCTCTGGGTTGCAGCCAGGGTCGGAAGGACTGGAGAGGAGGAGAGTTTTCATGGTCTTTTCCACCCAGCTAGACCCAGGAAGTCCTTGCAAGGAAGCCTGAGATCTCCAGCCCAGTTGTGTACTTCCTGGAGGATCTGATAGTTTGTTAGTGAAGGACCCAAGCATCCAAAAGATACTGCTTAGATTGGGTGGGTGCCATTAGCAGTACAAGGGCGTAGTGATCAAATTCCTACCAGAAGATCTCAACAGTGACTTTTTTACTGTAAGTTACCAGCCATCTTTTCTTCTTCCTCTCTAGACCCCAGTGCCTGGTCTTAACAGGCCCTCCCAACTTCCGCCCAGCCCTGGTGGATTTTGTGGGCACTTTCACCAAAAACCTCAGCTTGATGATTTGTGGGAATGTGCTGATAGTAAGTATTCTCGGTTCAGCTGCTCTCTTGCGTAAGAGTGCAAGGTGTGGTAGGACGCAGGTATCTACACCAACCCTAATCTGGACATCTGTTCACTGCCAGTACAAAAGGAACAAGCTGTGTGATATACTCCCTGGCAGGGCCCTGAAAAATAATATCCAGGGTTGTTAAATGCATGGGGCTGACTCTTCCAGTCCTTATGTACCCCATGCAAACTGCGAGTCTTTGTTTCCCTCTGGTGGCGGGGTCACCTAAGAGGGTCATGAGGCTGATTTTTGTCTCCAGCTAAGGAGCTTAGATCATGTGGTGGAGACTTACGTTTTCAGCTCTCAAGGGCCTGGGTTCAAACCTCATTAATGACCAAGGAGTTGGTTCAATTTGAGTTTTGCCGGAGTGAGGATTTCAGGATTTGGTGCACTGACTTTTGAGGAGTTAGCATATAGCAGAACTTTGCAGGTTAGTAGTCTACCACTGCTGAGTGAACCAGCACCTATGCTGCCATACTCTGACACAATGCAGCTTGTAAAGCCCTCAACATAGTGCATGAGAGCTGGCGATAAAGCATTCTTGGCTGAGGGGTTTACTTCTGGCACGAGCTTCCTAAGGCAATTAGAGTAATCCAGAGTTGGGGCACCCTGAGGCCAAGATAAAGACCCAGAGCATACCAGCCTGATGATAAAAAACCAAAAATATTCTCCAGTCAGAGCCTCCTTTAACTAGGGAGAGAAACTTCATGAAGACCACTAGGAACCTCATCATGGAGATATCTGGAAGTCACTTAGATACTGTGGTCTTCTTCTTTCATCTGTCTTAAACCAGCACTGCCGGATGTCCAAGTCTAGGTTAGTGATCAAGGATTGGTTCAAGTGATGCGGAGTAGATGGCAGAGATCTCACCAGGATACGATGGCTTGGGATGTTGATTGAGGAGGTGTTCTGTAGTTTGAAGTCCATTTCTGCAGTCACAGATAGGATTGTTTCAGTCCCCAAAAGCAGGTGCATCTGTCATGTGTTGTGGGATGCAGCTAAAAGTCGACCATATTTTTTATGGGAATGAAAAACCACTCGGTACTTTGGTTGGGTCCTTGATGAAGTGTTTGACTGGGATGTTGGCGTCCTTCCACCTTGCTCATTGTGATGATGGATCATATAGAAGACTTGGAGGTAGATAGACAAGCCAGATCCTTTCTCATGTACCTGTGATTTAAAAATATATTTCTAGGCACTCTTAAATGAACCAAAAAAAAAAAAGTAAAGCCATTTCTGTTGAAAAGATCACAGGCTAATTAAGCAATATTGGTGACAAGCTACAACGTTGTCAGGGGCTAATGGCCGCCTGCTGCAGATGAATTGCCAACGTGAAGATCAGGCATTGCTTTTGAAAGGGGACATTGATCAGAGGACAACGGTCTGTCCCAGTGTCTTCATTTCTCCCAGATCAAATGGCTGATGTAGATGTATTCATTTTTGCCTGAGGTGTAGCAGACTGAGAGTTGCTCACACAGGGCCTGATCAATGGGAGCATAATCAGTACAAGATAATCTTGCAGTAAAGGCACCAAGATGAGGCTCTATGGTCAATTTCTGGCTGTGTGTGACTTTGGGCAAACCACTGAGGCTGGGATTTTCAAAGCTGGATGGGTACGTGAATATGGATCTGTGCACATAAAAGTCCTTCTTTAAAAGCAACCAATGAAACCTGCATTCCAGGCCAAATCATGAAGGCCTTTCACAGATTTTACCAGGTCCTGTGCCACATAAAACTTCATTGGTATCAGTGAGATTTTGGCAGAGGCAGGACTGAATTCTGGTATCATTTAAAGTTCACAGAAGTTTTGCCAGAGATTTCAGTGGGAGACAGAATCAGGACCTGAGTCAGGACTTCAGGATTTGGCCCTATAAGATTGTCATCGGCTTACAATTATTTTTAACCTTATTTTACACACAGACGCAGTGAGCCCTGTGGAGCCAATATTAATGTAAAGTGTGTGTGGCGTGGAGAACATGTATTCCAAACCACTCTGCAGTGTGATGAGGATTAATTGAACTATTGCATAATGGTGGCATGGAAAAAGTACAGAGAAGGGCAACAAAAATGACTAAGGGGATGGAACAGCTTCCATGTGAGGAGAGATTAAAAAGACTGTTCAGCTTGGAAAAGAGACGACTAAAGGGGGATATGGTAGAGGTCTATAAAATCATGATTAGTGTGGAGAAAGTAAACAAGAACCACTTAACACAAGAACCAGAGATCACCCAGTGAAATCAATAAGCAGCAGGTTTAAAACAAACACAAGGAAGTATTTCTTCACACAACGCACAGTCACCCTGTGGAACTCAATGCCAGGAGATGTTGTGCAGGCCAAAAGTATAGCCATGTTCAAAAAAGAACTAGATAAGATCATGGAGGATAGGTCCATCAATGGCTATTAGCCAAGATGGGCAGGGATGCAAGCCCATGCTCTGGGTGTCCCTAGACCTGTGACTGCCGGAAGCTGGGACTGGATGGCAGGGTATGGATCACTCGATAAATTGCCTTATTATTTTTATTTCCTCTAAAGCATCTGGCACCAGCCACTGTCGGAAGACAGGATACTGGGCAAGATGGATCATTGGTCTGATCTAGTATGGCCGTTCTTATGTCATCCCGCATTTCCAGGGTCTAAGTTTGGATCTCATCTATGATTCAGGAGACTGCATGGTTCAAAGTAACTGCTTGGTTCAAAGTAAAGCGTATTATTTTATGGGGATAAACTTAAAACCACCAGCTAAAAATGGTCTGCATTTCGCAAACACGCTGATCCTTAATGCTACTGTTGTGTCCTTTCCTCCCACGCAATAACAGGGACCATGCAAGCAGAAGATGTCAGAATGCAGGCTCACCTCCAACGGCCATACAAAGTGGCTGACCAAGAGAAAGATCAAAGCTTTCTATACGGACGTGGTAGCTGATGACTTGAGAAGTGGAGTCAAAACACTTATGCAGGTAAAGCCCTAAACTGGATATTGAATCATGAAGGAACTGCAGTCCCCTGCTGTAAATCTTGCATCAAGGAATTCTTGAATGTTTCTTACAAGGGGCCTTCAACCTTTCCACTGAGAAGAGGTCAGTATTGTTGGGGCCAGCATGATTTGTTAAGGGATGGATTATGACTTGAAGTACATGCCTGTCCAAGGGAGTAAGGGGGAGTAAAAATTCTGGTGCCTCTTCATGGGCTAGCCAGAACCCTTCACTCCATCTCTGGAGCAGGTGGGTGGGGAATGAGTGGACCCTTGGCTCCAACCCCCCTACTCACTGGCCAATGTTATAATTTGCTATTGACCTATTCCACTGGCATATTATCCCCATCCCCCATGGAGCAAGGAGGAGGCGTTGAGATTCAGAGGGGTGTCCCTGGGACTGCTCCTGGCAGTTTACACACTACTCCTTGCTCAGAACTGAGCCTAGAGGGCACCATCTAGCAGCTCATGGGTTATAGGACTCTGTGCACGTGATGAGACCTTCAGATGAAATAAATGCATGTGTGTATGACGGGGATGTATATATAGTCCTATTAACACTGGAAAAATATCTATTAACCAAGGCATCCGGTCTTGGGAAGATGAAACCCAACATCCTGGTGATCGGGTACAAGAAGAACTGGCAGACAGCTCACCCTAGGACTGTGGAGGAGTACACTGGAATCCTGCAGTAAGTTGGGAGGCTGGTTGATGGTAGCGTTGCCTGCTTAGTTTGCTCCCAGTTAAACAGTAGAGAGTTCTGGGTGAACTGGGGGACACTCGGGAAGGAATATGGTGGTGTATAACTAGCCCGCTTTCATGACTATCCATCTTCATGAATACGCTGCAAAGTTTGAACCGGAAACTTCCATTGGCTCCCAGTTTCATAGACTATCAGGGTTGGAAGAGACCTCAGGAGGTCATCTAGTCCCACCCCCTGCTCAAAGCAGGACCAATCCCCAACCAAATCATCCCAGCCAGGGCTTTGTCAAGCCTGACCTTAAAACCTCCGAGGATGGAGATTCCACCATCTCCCTAGGGAACCCATTCCAGTGCTTCACCACCCTCCTGGTGAAATAAGGAGTGAAATTCCAGAGTTTAGCCTCTGGAAACTTAGCAAGGCTGTTGCAGCCACTGGTCAGCAAGATGTGTATTGGTGGGTGTTCACGGCTACTACCAGTCTCTCACTGCAGAGGGGAAGGAGGGGCTTGAGGCTAAAGCAAGGGACTTGGGAGTCAGGAGGTCGGGATGGAGGTCTGGTTTATATTCCTGGCTTCCTGTGTGACCTCTGGGAAGTCATTCAGTCTCTCTGTGCCCCAGCTTCTCCTTCTGTAAAGGGGGATAAGAACCTGACCTGACCCTGAGTTGTGACTTTCTTTAGAAGGGCAAAGCATTATTACAGTGACTGTACTTATTAGCATGTGTTAAATTACGTGGATTCCAACCATCACAGTTTAGCTGCACCTCAGACGTCTCAATTGCTCTGCCTATTATTGCATCCGTACACTGATTCCATCTCTCCAGCTGCCTGACCGCATCTGATAGACAAAGGCAATCCCAGTGATGCGTTTGCTTTGGCTTTGCTCCAGTTAAGGGCTGACAAGTGTTTGCATCAGTAGCATGTCCAGGCACGTGGGGGAAGAGCATCTGACATGCTCTGTGCTCACCCGCTCATGCGTGGAGAGGACTCTGGATGCAGCAGAAAGATGACAATTCCGTTGCATCAAGGGTGCCATGGAGCAGTGGTTTCTGGAAGCTCATTATGATCTGTGAAGATCCACAGGCCACACTTTCCCCCTACTTCCAGTGTGGAAGGGAAACACAGCCACTGTGGTACTGGGGACTGTACCTTTAAGAGCTGAGCTTCACAGCCAGTCAGGGCCGTCCTTACCCATATGCAAATTACGCAGCTGCGTAGGGAACCAGAAAATTTGGGGCACCAAATTTCCTGGTGCCCTGCGCAGCTACGTGCTACTCCAGCCCCTGCTCCGGCTCTTGCCCAGGGCCCCTGCCCCTGCTTCACCCCAGCCCCACCCCCACTTCCCTGAGGAGTGCAGCAGGGCTGGGCCTGCACTCACCGGCCCCAGCTGCGCCGCCGGTGAGTGGTTCCCCCTGCTCCCCAAGCCCTCCCCTGCAGAGACCTGGGGCCAATCCCCCATCCCCTGCAGAGGCCTGGGGCCCCACACCCCTCCCCCCTGCTGGGGGGCTGCGTAGGGCCCCAGAATAGCTAGGTACGGCCCTGCAGCCAGTTGGAACTGGACACAAAATAAAGCAGAGCTCTTGCATTCACCTTAAGCACTGAGTGATCACTGACCACCACCTGCACCACAGCCCTGAGACTGAAGCAAGTAGCTCTTGGACTGCTCTGTACTGGAGTAGGAAGGCTTCATTTCTCCTGGCTCTCTCTGAGACTCCTCAAGGTGTAGCCTGGTTACCTAGGATTTGTGTCGGGGGCAGGATTTGCTCCGTAGTAACCTCAGTTACAACGGTCACACCAATGCCCTTTGTCTTGAAGTTTTGGTTAACTTTTACAGGCATTCCTCACTGGAAAGGCTCAGAGGTCAGGTTCATTTAGTGTCTTGTCTCCAACAGCGACCAATGTCAGATGTCGCATAAGATGGCCAGCGTACTGAACTAAAGGGACAACCCCTCTGAGCCTGTTCCTATGGTCCCATCGAATGCAAAGAATGTCAATGCTAAGTACGCGTTCTCTCTCTCATTCCAGTGATGCGTTTGACTTCAAGTATGGAATATGCTTAATGCGAATGAAGGAAGGGCTGAATGTTTCCAGAATGATGCAGGCTCACAGTAAGTGTCGATTGCAGCCATACCTGCAGGAATTGCAGATCCCTGTTAGATCCCAAGCCTTAAGCAGATGTGAGTGCACACTGGCATATCAGTTGAATGGATGAACACAATAAGTCAAACCCACTTGCCCTTTGCAGATCAGTAACGTGCCTCTATTGTTAATAATTAAACAAGGTGTCAAATATTTCCCCCTGCAAGAGAAAGGACTTTGACACAGAACTTCGACTGTACGTGGCCAGAATCCTTTTGACTCCCCACATTCTTCCAGTTACTGCAACTGAACGTGCTATTCTTCACTTCCAGTCCTAAATCATTTCATGGCACTGCTCTGCGCTGTTCCACCCGAGAGGCTGCTACCCAGCATCTCACGGGGGAAATGAAGTGCATAACGCATTTCTGGGTCATTGTAAAGTGCCCCCTAGCCAGCGGCTCATTGGGCTGACATGGTGAAGGCATGTCAGTTTCATAGCCAATGGTGCACAAGGGAGTGGTACTGCCAGCATCACGTCTGGCCGCCTTTGATGGCCCTGTCCCAATGGATCAGGTGCCCATTTTGCCGCTGGGTGAACTGGAGGTGGCCTTTCAGTGTGAGATCAGGTAAGACAAACCCACAGCCTGCAGGACTCTAGACAAGCCCGTGAACAACGCAGTCACCCCACCTCACCACAGATTTCTGGGTGAGATTGCAAAATTCAGAGCTTGCTTTATGGGGCTCCAGTATCTGAGACCAGCCTGGTTCTCCTTTAATTCATCGCTACACGCACAAAGAGTGATGAAAGGCTATAGAACGAATTGCCAGTGTCATTACAGCAAATTACTCACAGGGTGACCATTCGCTCCCGTGCAGGGGGCTCGCACAGAGTCTGTGCACCACTTAAGACTCGCTTGAACAGTGCCCGGGCCTTGTGCTCTGCCTTGGGGTAAATTCACCATCGTGAACAGCAGTCCTATGCCATGCACATCTCCGAAATAACAACGAGATCCTCATGAGACGCTGGAACAGCACCTCTGCCCAGGGTGCAATTAACTTCTGCTTTTTAACATGCTTTAAATCTTTGTTAGGTTCAGTGCAGGTTGGCTAAGGATGAAATTCACCATCGTGCAAAAGGTTGGCATGAGTCTATGGACCATTTAAGTCTTCAATGTAGGGCTTAAGTGGTGCCTATTCTTTGTGCTGGCTCTTGGTGCAGACGTTTCCCCCCTAAACTAGCATGCATGCAGCAGAATTTAACGCTGCATCTATTAAATGCAAACGTTTTCTAAACTAGCTTTAACTTTTCTGTTCAGGATGTTTTTTAAAGTTATAATTAAAATGAACGTAGGTTCAATGGTCATTGGATTTAGCCATAATAGTTTTCTAAGTGAAAAGAAACGTCCATTGTTTTGTCTTTCACGTCTCCATTGCCTTTATTCTTCTCATCTCTTTTGCAGTTAACCCGGTGTTTGACCCAGCAGAAGACCGTAAAGAGAATGGAGCAAATGGTGTGGTACCCACTGTGACAGGAACATGTTAGTTCTAACCACGTTCATCTTTGTAATATGAAACGCTCACCCTCCAACCTGCAGTGAAAATGAATGATGTTCTACCATGTCAGGGCCAACTAGCTGAATGATTCTTGGCTACTAGTTACTCTGGCTGCGAAGTCCAGATCTGAACTTCCCTTAAGTTTGGTGGTGTCCAGATCTGGGAGCTGGGTTTGTTCCGTTGTAAGTAAAGGTTCCAGCTGCGGCGTTGGGTCAGCAAGGTTTGGGGATGTTTGGATCAAGGGTTTTGGTCCAACCAAATACAAAAATAGGTTTCAGCTACTAAGCTTTGCTCTGGATCAAACATTTACAGGATGTGGCCTAGACAGCATTTTGCCGTAGCCTGCAGGGAAGTTTAAGGCTCTAAATAGGAAAGGTCTGCCACCTGCTGCAGAGAGTTGGAAGAACAGCACATGTCAAATTCCAGGGCCTGTCTCTCACGCTGTGGGTTCTTTTCCCCTTGCTAGTGGATCCGGATGCCCTTACAGCGGAACAGCAAGCAAGCACCATCTTCCAGACTGAACAGGGCAAGAAGACTATCGACATCTACTGGCTCTTTGATGATGGAGGTGACCTTTGACCTTAATAAATACACCCAGCCTGCACACAGATTTGGGACTTTTTTATCTCATTATTTCCACCTCACCCTCCATTCAGCTCATGAATGAGACCGATCTCTGAAGGGTTTTCCCGCTGCAGTTGGGTCTCAAGCCACTGCAGGGCAGTGACCTCTTCAGCTCTGCTCACTCCCATTCAATCATCCATCAGTCATTCCTCAGCAGTGTCAGGGTCTAGTTCTCCTCAGGACAGTTCCTACCCATTCATTTCCAGCTTTCCGCAGGGTGAAGCCCTTCTCAGCAGTGTCTGCCCAACAGTGGTCAGCTACCCCCAGATCACTGTGCTGCTCCCGTACAGTGCTGTTAAGTTCCACCAAAACCTTGCCCTACTAGGCCAGCGTGGCCTACTGAGGACAAGCCTGAGATTCTCGAAGGCGACTAAGAGAGGTAGGTGCCCAACTCTCATTGAAACCAATGGGATTTGGGTGCCCAACTCTCTTAGACTCTTTGCAAATCTCACTCATATTCTCTTAGCAAAATCTCTCCTGCACTGCCCTTTCCACCAGGGCTGATGTTAACACAGCAGGAGGCTTTTAATATAATAGTTTTGAGCAGAAAGGTTAGCCTCAAACCTCCTAACCCCATTCCAGTCTCACGTTTCCTTTGCAACATTCGACAGCAGCGCTGGCTCCGGAGACTTGCTTCTGTTAATCATGTTTGTTACGGGAGCACCTAGGGACCAACCGAGATTGGGGTTTTGTGGTGCAAGGCACGGTACAGACCTAGAGCAGTAGGCTGTCTCTGCGCAAAAGGGTTGCAATCTAAATAGGCAAGACAGACACGGGGTAGTGGAAAGGAATACAGTCTACAAGCCGAGCAATCAATGTGATGATGGCAAATGGAGTATTTGTTTCATGATTTCTTACCCCCAAGAGTGTTAGGTAGGAGGAATCAGCTAAACGGAAAGACAAGAGAAGGGAGAGGAGCGAGGGGGACAGAACTGAGGAAAACTCTGAGGGGAGGAAGGTCTGAGGGTCAGCTGTGGAGTGAAGCTGAGGTTAATTACTATGTTATTAGGGCTGTCCATTAATCGCAGTTAATGCATGCGATTAACGCAAAGCAAATTAACTAGATTAAAAAATATAGTTGCGATTAATTGCAGTGTTAATCGCACTGTTAAACAATACCAGAATACCAATTATATTTATTAGAAATATTTGTGGATGTTTTTCTACATTTTCAAATATATTGATTGCAATTACAACACAGAATACAAAGTGTACAGTGCTCATTTTATATTATTATTTTTTATTCTAAATATTTGCAGTGTAAAAAAGAGAAAAGAAATAGTATTTTTCAATTCACCTCACACAAGTCTGCTCAGTCCTACTTCTTGTTCAGCCAATCGCTAAGACAAACAAGTGTGTTTACATTAATGAGAGAGAACGCTTCTTATTTACAATGTCACCTGAAAGTCAGAACTGGTGTTCGCAATGCACTGTTGTAGCCAGTGTGCAAGGTATATACATGCCAGATATGCTAAACCTTAGTATGTCCCTTCATGGTTCAACTTGTAGGCTCTAAAGTTTTACATTGTTTTTGAGTGCAGTTATGCAAAAAAAATAATTCTACGTTTGTAAGTTGCACTTTCATGATAAAGAGATTGCACTACAATATTTGTATGAGTCTCCTTTTCTGGGACTAACTGCAACCCAGAGATCTGGCAGTGCAGTGTGGGATTTTAGCTGGGGACATTTAATACTAGACGGAGCAGTACACTAGAAAATACAGCCCGGGGTGCAATCTCACATTGATGGGGGGATGGGCTGGCAAGCACAGGGCCTTCTCCATCTCTGATTCAGAATGTTAAATAGTTGTTTGGTCCCCAAAAGTAAGACCCAATCCCTGTGCTCTTCCCTGTGGCAGGTCTGACGCTCCTGATTCCGTTCCTCCTCAGTCGCAAGAAGCGGTGGGGCAAGTGCAGAACCCGGGTGTTTGTTGGTGGGCAGATCCACAGGATGGATGAAGAGAGGAAGGCGTGAGTGCATTCCTGAGCATTGATCAAATAGAGTTTGGGAGACCATTAGCTGCCACTAATTCCATCGATAATTCAGAGTCACTTCTGTTATGATTTTCTGTACACAAAGGGCCTAGTATAAAACCTACAGTAGTCAATAGGAGTCTTTCCATTGACTTCAGCGGGCCTTACATCAACTCTCTATATTCAGTCTGAATAGCGTGTATTTAGGATTAACTGAAATAACTAAGGAAGAAAGAACAAAAGCAAGGTCTCCATGGGAAAGCCCAATCTGTGTGTCTCTGCTGTGAAATCAACTCAACCACCCAAAATGGCAGCTTGCCTCAGCAGATTCCTAGAAATGTAAAGGCACAGCACACAGAAGACAAAATAATAAGTTACCTGCCACCTACCCCACAGGTTGGACTATCTCACAGATTTGCTGCACCTTTTGGGGATTTAAGTCTGGAATTTTGCTGTTGACCCAACACTCTTCTCTTTGTTTTAGAAATGTCAGAAGCTCTTTTTTTTGGTTTTGACCATTTTTTAAATTATATTTCTTCCGCATGGTATGCCATGATCCTGGTCATCAGCTTGTGTAAATCCGCATAATTCCATTCCAGCTAACGGAACTATGTTGATTTATATCATCGGAGGATCTGCCCCATTTGTTTGTTTGTCTGTTTATTTTAAAATGACATTGTGTTTGTGGGAAAATGTATTGAGAGGACCCAAGGGTGGAGAATAAAAAATGCAAATATGATTTTTAAAAATGCAAACCCAAGGGCCATGGAAATGAAATTCCAGGAGCTGAACACAGAAAGAGCCGTCAGCAGTGATTGGGAAAGTAGCCGAATGCCACCCTGCACTATCTTACTACAGACGATATGGTAGATAGGTGATATTGTTAAACACTCAGTGGAACAGAAAAAGAGAAATTGGCCACGCCATGAAAGCTCCCCCAGCCACCTCCTGGTTCTGACATTTCACCTGGAATATGACTGGGCCAATACTTACTACCTGGCTAAATTCTTACTACCCTGAGTAGATTTCAATGGACCACTCAGAGTAGTAAACACTGGGCCTAGTGTTTGCAGGGCTTGATAAGCAGACAGATATTTATAATAATGCTCTTCTTTAGCGCTTTTCATCAGTAGAGCTCAAAGCGCTTCACAAAAGAGGTCAGTAGCAATATCCCCATTTTACAGGGGGAAACTGAGGCACAGCAAGGCAAATTGACTTACCCATGGTTACTCAGCAGGCCAACGGCAGAGCCATGACTAGAACCCAGGTCTCCTGAGTCTCAGGCTAGTGTTCTAGCCACTAGGCAACACTGCTTCGCTTGATTCTTAAATGTTCAGAGAGTTTCTGGGAATCCTGGGATGGTCAGTAAAGTATTGAGCAGGAAAAAAAGAGTAAATTTTTAAAAAATCCCCCTTTTTCTCTCTTACAGGATTGTCTCTCTATTGAGCAAGTTCCGACTTGGGTTCCATGAGGTGCATGTCCTTCCAGACATTAACCAGAAACCACGCCCTGAACAGTACGTTATTTCTCTAGTTTTTGTCTTTGCCTCTTTCATTCTCCAGACTTGGTTCCTCTGTGTGTGTGTCTTGACTGTGTGTACATCAAGTGGAACCTGAGAGTTCTTCTTGTCCCTAATCCATCCCATGCTTTGATTAGGGGCTCCGCTTCTACCAGATGGGGAGTGTGAAGGCTGGGGGCAGAAAAGGAGAAAACTACACTTGTAACCCAGCCATTTTCTACATTTATAAGTGAATTTCATGCAGAGGAAAGGTGCCAGCCCTGGAGACTGGTGTTTTGTCTTTAGCCAAAGAAAATCAGTGTTGCCAACTATCATGATTGCAGGACAAGTCTCACGATACTTGGTGTTTTCTGCAAGGCCTCAGCTCCCAGAGTCATATTATTATGGAAGAACCTCAGCTTTCATGTGAAGGAAAAAAGTAAGTTTCCAGCCCCCCTGTGTTTAGAGAACACTTTGAAAACATGCCCCCTAAAGGCTCAAATACCTGAAAGCAAATGAAAAGAACCCAACAGTGATTTTTTTTTAAATCTCATGATTTTCATCAAATCTTGTGATTTTTTTGGCACCTGACATATGACTGGAGTTGGCAGGACTGGACCATTCACAGTAGAGATAGAGGAAGGTCAAGATTATTCAATGCTGCCCAGACAATGTGCCACAACCTTGGTTCAGAAGTCATCACCACAGGAACACGGAATGAATGGATGACTAGAGAACATAGAAGGATGAATAGACGCCATCAGGGTAACTTCCCCATAGGCCTGTTCAATTAATAGAATCATAGAATATCAGGGTTTGAAGAGACCTCAGGAGGTCATCTAGTCCAACCCCCTGCTCAAAACAGGACCAATCCCCAACTAAATCATCCCAGCCAGGGCTTTATCAAGCCAGGCCTTAAAAACCTCTACAGAAGGAGATTCCACCACCTCCCTAGGTAACTCATTCCAGTGCTTCACCACCCCCCTAGTGACATAGTGTTTCCTAATATCCAACCTAAACCTCCCCCACTATAACTCCCCCATTGCTCCTTGTTCTGTCATTTGCCACCACTGAGAACAGCTGAGCTCCATCCTCTTTGGAACCGCCCTTCGGGTATTTGAAGGCTGCTATCAAATCCTCCCTCACACTTCTCTTCTCTAGACTAAACAAGCCCAGTTCCCTCAGCCTCTCCTCATAAGTCATGTGCCCCAGCCCCCTGATCATTTTTGTTGCCCTCCACTGGACTCTCTCCAACTTGTCCACATCCCTTCTGTAGTGGGGGGACCAGAACTGGATGCAGTACTCCAGGTGTGGCCTCACCAGTGCTGAATAGAGGGGAATAATCAAATCCCTCGATCTGCTGGCAATGCTCCTACTAATGCAGCCCAATATGCTGTTAGCGTTCTTGGCAACAAGGGCACACTGCTGACTCATATCCAGCTTCTCGTCCACTGTAATCCCCAGGTCCTTTTCTGCAGAACTGCTGCTTAGCCAGTCAGTCCCCAGCCTGTAGCGGTACATGGGATTCTTCCATCCTAAGTGCAGGACTCTGCACTTGTCCTTGTTGAACCTCATCAGATTTCTTTTGGCCCAATCCTCCAATTTGTCTAGGTCACTCTGGACCCTATCCCTACCCTCCAGCGTATCTACCTCTCCCCCCGGCTTAGTGTCATCCACGAATTTGCTGAGGGTGCAATCCATCCCATCATCCAGATAATTAATAAAGATGTTGAACAAAACTGGTTCCAGGGCCGACCCCTGAGGCACTCCGCTTGATACCGGCTGCCAACTGGACATCAAGCTGTTGATCGTTACCCATTGAGCCCAACAATCTAGCCAGCTGTCTATCCACCTTATAGTCCATTCATCCAATCCATACTACTTTAACTTGCTGGCAAGAATACTGTGGGAGACCGTATCAAAAGCTTTGCTAAAGTCAAGATATATCACATCCACTGCTTTCCCCATATTCACAGCGCCAGTTATCTCATCATAGAAGGCAATTAGTTTGGTCAGTCACGACTTGCCCTTGGTGAATCCATGTTGACTGTTCCTGATCACCTTCCTCTCCTCCAAGTGCTTCAAAATGGATTCCTTGAGGACCTGCTCCATGATTTTTCCAGGGACGGAGGTGAGGCTGACCAATCTGTAGTTCCTTTTTCCCTTTTTTAAACATGAGCACTATATTTGCTTTTTTCCAATCTCCCAGGACCTCCCCCGATCGCCACGAGTTTTCAAAGATAAAGGCCAATGGCTCTGCAATCACATCAGCCAATTCCCTCAGCACCCTCGGATGCATTAGATCTGGACCCAAGGATTTGTGCATGTCCAGCTTTTCTAAATAGTCCTTAACCTGTTCTTTCACCACTGAAGGCTGTTCACCTCCTCCCCATTCTGTGTTGCCCAGGACAGCAGTGTGGGAGCTGACCTTGTCTGTGAAGACCAAGGCAAAAAAAGCATTGAGTACATCAGCTTTTTCCACATCATCTGTCACTAGGTTGCCTCCCCATTCATTAAGGGTCCCACTCTTTCACTGACCTTTTTCTTGTTGCTAACATACCTGTAGAAACCCTTCTTGTTACCCTTGTCATCCCTTGCTAGCTGCAACTCCAGTTGTGTTTTGGCCTTCCTGATTACACCCCTGCATGCTCGAGCAATATTTTTATACTCCTCCTTAGTCATCTGTCCAAGTTTCCACTTCTTGTAAGCTTCCTTTTTGTGTTTAAGCTCACCGAAGATTTCTCTGTTAAGCCAAGCTGGTCACCTGCCATATTTGTATTCTATCTGCACATCGGAATGGTTTGTTCCTGTGCCCTCAATAAGGCTTCTTTAAAATACAGCCAGCTCTCCTGGGCTCCTTGCCTCCTCCTATTAGCTTCCCAGGGGATCCTGCCCATCAGTTCCCTAAGGGAGTCAAAGTCTGCTTTTCTGAAGTCCAGGGTCCATATTCTGCTGCTCTCCTTTCTTTCTTTTGTCAGGATCCTGAACTCAATCATCTCATGGTCACTGCTGCCCAGGTTGCCACCCACTTCTACTTCCCCTACCAATTCTTCCCTGTTTGTAAGCAGCAGGTCAAGAGGAGAACGGCCCCTGGTTGGTTCCTCCAGCACTTTCACCAGGAAGTTGTCCCAAACACTCTCCATAAACTTCTTGGATTGTCTGTGCACTGTTGGGAGAGCAATACAGCAGATGTTAGGGTGATTGAAGTCCCCCATTAGAACCAGGGCTGGTGTTCTGGAAGCTTCAGTTAATTGTCTGAAGAAAGCCTCGTCTACCTCATCCTCCTGGTCCAGTGGTCTATAGCACACGCCCACCACAACATCACCCTTGTTGCTCTTGCTTCTAAACTTAACCCAAAGACTCTCAACAGGCTTTTCTCCAGTTTCATACTGGAGCTCTGAGCAATCACACGGCTCTCTTACATACAGTGCAACTCCTCCACCTTTTCTCCTCTGCCTGTCCTTCCTGAACAGTTTATACCCATCCAAGACAGTGCTCCAGCCATGTGAGCTACTCCACAAAGTCTTTGTTATTCCAATCACATCATAGTTCTTTGACTGTGCCAGGACTTCCAATTCTTCCTGCTTGTTTCCCAGGCTCCTTGCGTTCGTGTACATGCACCTAAGATAACTAGCCGATTGCCCTGCTTTCTCAGTATGAATCAGGAGGCTTCCCATCTTGTATCCTCCTCCTTGTGTTTCCTCCCAGTATCCCCTTCCCCACTTACCTCAGGGCTTAGGTCACCGTCCCCCAGCGAACCCTAGTTTAAAGCTCTCCTCACTAGGTTAGCAAGCCTGCCTGCGAAGATACGCTTCCCTCTCTTCGTTCGGTGGATCCCATCTCTTCCTAGCAATCCTCCTTCCCAGAACAACATCCCACGGTCGAAGAATCCAAAGCCCTCTCTCCGACACCACCTGCGTAACCACACATTTACCTCCACAATTCAATGGTCCCTGCCTGGGCCTTTTCCTTCAACAGGGAGGATGGACAAGAACACGACTTGCGCCTCAAACTCCTTTATCCTTCTTCCCAGAGCCACGTAGTCTGCAGTGACCCACTCAAGGTCATTCTTGACAGTATCATTGGTGCCCACATGGAGAAGTAGGAAGGGGTACCGGTCCGAGGGCTTGATCAGTCTCGGAAGACACTCTGTCACATCCTGAATTCTAGCTCCAGGCAAGCAGCACGCTTCTTGAGTCTCTCGGTCTGGTCGGCAGATAGATGACTCTGTCCCCGACCACCACCACCCGTCTCCTCCTCTTGGGAGTGGTGGTCATAGAACCCCCATCCCTAGGACAATGCATCTCATGCCTTCTGATCGATGGGGTCTCCTTCTGATCACTTCCCTCAGAGGGCTCTTCCAAATCATTCTCCACAGTAATACCTGTGCAGAGAGCCTGAAAACAGTTTCTTACCTTGCATAGGGGGTACATGGGTTCTCCTGAAGTAGCCAACAAAGAGACTGATCTGTGAACAGAGGAATTAAGTTTCCAGGGCGGTTGATCTAAACTGGCTGAAAAATGGAAATCCCTTCTCACGAAAAATTTCACATTTAAAAAAAATTCATCCTGGATTGGGATGAAAAGGCCAAAACATGAAATTTTTCACAACCAGGGATTTCCAGAAAAATTCCATCTTGGAAGAACTGAAAGGGAAGGAAGTACAGAACTGCAGCAGACAAATCAACAAGACCCTTCTAGGTGGACAGCCATCATTTTGGTTTTCCTAATGGAAAAATGGAAAATTTTCAGCAAAATAAAAGAAAAATGTAGATTTTGTGAAAAGGGCTTTTTCATCAGAAGATCATTAGAACGTAAGAATAGCCATACTGGGTCAGACAAATGGTCTATCTAGCCCAGCATCCTGTCCCCGATAGTGGCCAGTACTAAAGCTTCAGGGGGAGTGTACGGAACAGGGCAATTTTGAAGAAATTCCACCTCTGTCTCCCCTCCCGGCTTCTGGCAGTCAGAGGTCTAGGGTCACCCCAAGTGAGAGGTTATATCCCTGAACATCTTGGTTAATAAGTCCATCAACAGCTATCCTCCATGAACTTATCCAGGTTTTTTTTTAACCCAGTTATACATTTAGTCATTGTAACATCCCATGGCAATGAGTTCCACGGGTTAATTTGTGTGTTGTGTGAAACAGTATTTCCTGTTGTGTGTATTAAACCTGCTGCCCATTAATTTCATTGGGTGACCTCAGGTTTTTGTATTGTAGGAAAATGTAAATAATACTTCTCTATTCACTTTTTCCACACCATGTGTGCTTTTATAGACCTCTGTTATATCCCCATTTAGTCGCCACCTTTTCTAAGCTGAACAGCTTTGATCTTTTTAGTCTCTCCTCATATGGCAGCTGTTCCAGACCCTTGATCGTCTTTGTTGCCCTTCTGTGAACCAGTTCCAGTTGCGTGATATCCTTTATGAAACGGGGAAACCAGAACTGCACATAGTATTCGATATTTTCTATCCCTTTCCTAATGGTTCCTAACCTACTGTTAGCTTTCTTGATCACCGCTGTGCATTGAGCTGAAGTTTTCAGGGAACTATCCATGACGACTCAGACTGACCAGTTCTCTTGTTGATCCAGGATCTCTCTTCAGAAGACAGAAACCAATAACAGTTGCCATCTTTCTAATGGGAGCCCCCAGCATGCTCATAAACCCCAGCAGCATTTATCCAGTGCAGCAAATGTCAGGACAGAGCTCCAATCCTACCATGCTCTTTGTTTGTAGCATCAAGAGATTTGATGACCTGATCGCCCCCTTCAGGCTGAACGATGGGTTTAAGGACGAGGCCGTGGTGAATGAAATGAGGCGTGACTGCCCCTGGAAGATTTCTGATGAGGAGGTTAATAAAAACAAAGTAAAGGTAGGGACATTACCACTGCGATTGGGAGATTGCAACAGCTGGGGAAGGGAGAATACCTGGGAATTCTCATGTAAAGGATTTTCCTGACCTAATCTGCGATTCAGAAAGCTCTCCTTGCTTGCAGGCTTTTCCAGGATCCCAATCCCGTAAGGCGCTGTGAGCACCCTCCACTCCCACTGAAATCACTACAAGGCAATAGCATTCAGCACCTTACAGGATTGGGCCCGTAATGATTTGGGGGCCCTCTTGGTTCAATCCTGCACCCACTGGTGTCAATGGAAGTGTTGCCGTTGACTTCACCGGGTGCAGACCGGACCCTTCGTGAGCTCTTCTGCTGCTCTGGAGAACGGCATGAGCTGCGGAGGTTTTTTATGCTGATTCCATGCTGAAGCAATAGGCAGGACCAAAGGGTTTGGAAGGAAACGGCTCTCGGGAGAGGTTAAGAGAGCGGCAGCATGTTCAGCTGGAGATGAGGTCAGCAGGCAGGGAATGCCCCATGCTGGTAGCTAGGGGCCTCACCAGTAACCAGGGTGAGGTTCATCCTTAATTCCATGGGACAGTCCCGAGTTTCACAGATCTCTCCTCTGTTTGGCAAATGACCACAGCCCTGCAGCGTGCACTCAGTCAATGGATTGACTCCCACTGGGGACAGCGGGTGCTGGACCAGGGAAATCCGTGGGCATTCCAGGGGGACGCTGCCTGACTGACTTTGTGCTGATGTGATTTTTACTTTTTGCTCCTTAGTCGCTTCGACAAGTGAGACTGAATGAGATTTTGCTGGATTACTCACGGGATGCTGCTCTCATAGTCATGTAAGTAACAGCAGCCCCCAGAGTGATCAGGATCCATAATGCGCCTCTTAAATATTGTCTTCTCCAGCAAGTCAGTGTATTTAGGGGCTATTTTTGTTCTTGAATAGATTACTATAGAAACAGCCCCTTCAGTCTTCTCCCTTCTACATAATAACAACTAAGCAGACACTACCAATCCATGTATGCCCTCAAGTATACCCCCTTATAGAATCATAGACTATCAGGGTTGGAAGGGACCTCAGGAGGTCATCTAGTCCAACCCCCTGCTCAAAGCAGGGCCAATCCCCAACTAAATCATCCCAGCCAGGGCTTTGTCAAGCCAGGCCTTAAAAACCTCTAAACCTTCTATGCAGCATCTGCAGAAAAGCCCACATAAAAATACTAGTTTGCTACAGTGATGGCCTAACACACTATGGGTGATGCTAGGGAGGTAGGGCTCAGGACCATTACTATAGCGTAATGCAATATATTTTTGTTGTTTGTTTGTATGATAGTGCAGCAGTTTGGAGCAAACCCTAATTGCGCAGATTGGATAATTGCTCCACTGACGATATACTCTCCACCTATAAGGCCAGCTTCTCTGCTGCTCCAGAAGAGGGGAAGAGGTCACAAAAGAGCTGGTTGCAGCTCCCTGATTCAGGTTGGCTCCATACTGGAACCAGTCCTGGCATAATTTAGAGCAGCCTCAAGGCTGCTTTAAACTACACCAGTTGGTAGAAGCCCCTAAAAGGGCCCATCTCAGGCTCAGAATAGCTGGAATGCAACAGCACTCCAGTTATATTGGCTATGCGAAGGTGGTGTGTGGGAGTTGTGTAGGAGTGGGCTACTCTGGGTCTGTGCAGCTGATGACTCCACATGGCAGGAGAATTCTCAGCTAGGGAGGTCCACCTGCTTTCTGGCCCCTATTTCACCTCCCGAATGGTGCAAAAGGGCTGGATTTCACAAGAAAATCTGGCCAATAAGTCCTATTGGGTGTAGGTTTGGAGGCTACATTCATATGGCCATAAACAGGTGAGCAGGTGTCCCTGTGTCAGTGATGCCCAGTTAGATTGTGACTCTTGTGAGGCTGTCATTCATTCAGAAATTCTTTTCGACCCTCCAGACAGTGTTGGTCACGTGTGACACAGAAAGCTCACCCCCTCTCCTGCCAAGGCCAGCTGACTGAATTCACTTCACTTTCTTCTGGTCCGACTCCTTGCCCTGATTGTAAGAGCTATAAGTCACTAGCACTGAACTCACCCCACAGCCTGTAGTCACCGGTCACCTAGTGACCAGTTGAGGAAACACAGCTCTCCATTTATGAATGCCTGACATGACACACACTATTCATGGAACTGAATCTTAAACAGGGGCTGCCTACGGAAGCATCTACAGCACGAGGACCGCTCATAGGGCGAGTCAGGTTTATCCGTTCTGCTCCGCTCCTCTGCTAGCACAGATAGTACAGATAAAGCAGAATTCAAAGTGAACAGGAATCAGTGTTGTGGACAGGACACAGAAAGTTGGTGGCACACAGTGTATGAGGTGGATCTATAATCTGCAAATCTGCATGGACTTCTCACTGAGGGAATAATACTCTTCCAAGGCAAAATTAGATGCAAGGTTTTTTTCCTCCCCACTTCATACTTCTCTTGTTTTTGTTCTTCTCCTTTCCAGAACCTTGCCAATAGGCAGAAAGGGGAGATGCCCCAGCTCCCTCTATATGGCCTGGCTAGAAACCCTCTCGCAAGACCTGAGACCCCCAGTTATTCTGACCAGAGGAAACCAAGAAAATGTTCTGACGTTTTACTGCCAGTAGAATGTGGTTGACTACACGGTGGGTCAGGATGTGAATTTTCAGGCCAGGTTTTGGCCTTGGAATGAACTCTTCCGGTTTTTCGGGTGCTAGTCACTGGTAAAAGCAAACTCTCCTGGTTTCAGCTGATGTCAGCCATTGATAAAGGATTAATGTTGGGAAATGACTAACACTGGGTTATACCAACTCTGCCCTCCCCCTTCTGAAAACTGATCTTGCTGATCCTAGCCTTTGCATATCCTGGGAGCACCTTAATACCACCACATGCCAGGGGGATAATGTGTTCCTGAGTTCTCTAATGCAAATTCCTGGGTGGGACCTATTGGGCAACACAGAGGAGGCAGTAGTGGGGGGAAAGTCAGAGTTTTTACAGGAGATTTTCAAAGCTGCCTAAAAGATTTGGATGCCCAAATGAACCGGGCTTCCAGTTCCCCCAGATATCATCTGTCCTATTTATTTCCCATTAATTTGCTGAAAACGACCCTGTGATTCCAATCAGAAAGTGACTGCTGGGGGTTAGAACCTGGGAAATTCATCAAAGATCCAAGCCCCAATCGTACAGTAGCTGTACCGTCCTTTGTCAGTGAAGGAAAGAGGGAGGTGAGAGAAGAGAAAAGGGGTGGGGGGAAACAGGAAGAAAAATTAATAGGGACGGGATTGGCCTTAAAATTTGGGGGAAGGAAAGGGACACTCCACTATGTTACAATCCTGCATTGCCGCGTAGAGGTTTGTGCCAATGACCACGCATTGCTCCAGGATGTTCTGCTGCTGTGTTAGCACATATTGTGCCTCCTTTGTCCCCATAAAAGAAACTGCACTGTTAAAAATCTGAACTGTGCCATCCTCATGACACTCTGTAAGTTAGGTTTGCTGCCCCTTATTACAGCTGAGGAAACTGAGGCAGAGAGGTTAAGAGAGTGGCCCAAGGCCACATTGTGAGTCACTAGCAGAGCTAGGATTAGAACTCCCAGCTGTTCCCTCATTTCTGCTGGCCACTCTGCCTCCCTCATTATTATAGCCATTGGACAGCTGGCGATGCTGAGAGAGATGATGTGATCTGCCGAAGGTCACACAACAGTTCAGTGGCAGACTTTGGGTCTCCTGATCCCCAGGCCAGTTTTCTAATCAACCTTCTTCTAAGATCCTGTCAGAAGCAGATTTTGTTCGGAGTGAATGCTGCGGGGAATGTGCTCACCATAGGCTTTGACCGTGATACTGCCATCCTCCTTGGTCGTGTTTGTTTCAATGACCTACCCTCGCCCTAATCAAACATTAACTAGAGCGCTCGTCTGCCTTCCTTAGACCCCCCACCGAACCCTGGCTGGGGGTCAATGAAACACGCCGCCCTGCAGTCCTCTCTTCTATTAAAAAAGGATGTGAAGCTCGCAAAGCCCATAGGCCTGTTGGGCAAGGGAAAGTAGCTGCCCGGGTGTGAAGCGGGGGGGAAATGAGTGGCCCACAGTGGCGACTGATGCTCATTGTCTTCTACCATTTCCTTCCGGGGTGACATCTTTGCATCGCCGTAAGCTGTAGCTCTGTCTGATGCTCTGGTGGCATTGCCTCCCCTGGCCTGGCTGTCAGCACCTCAGGCTAAGGCTGTGTGAAAGTTCTTGCTCCCACTTGTTCAGTTCTCCCAGCAGCGGCAGAGTGGGAGCACTGGTGAAGACAGGGGTAACCCTGCTCAGAGCAGGGCATCGTGATATGATGCTTAAACCCCTGGCAGGTGCTGGTGCCTGTCTGCACTAGTGCTCCCGTGTTCGAAACCACCCGTGACACTGAACCAGTAGTGGGAATGCTTAGCATAGGTGCCCTAGCCTAGGTCACCCTGACCTTGGCGTCGGTACCACGCTCTGATTTTCACAATGCCCCATGGATTGTTTTCAGCCATGTGTGACATGGGCAGCACAAATGGACTTCTCTCCAGTGCTGAGCCGGAGGCTGGTGTTTTCCCACCCAGAGCTGCTTCAGTAAACTCTTCCATCGTGGAGAAAAATACTCCCATCCCAGTACTTCAGAGACGTGAGTGACAAAGGCAGCCAGGCCAATTCATCTCGTGTCTTTGTGATGGTGAGAGGTGCTGGGTTGACCGGGAGACTGCAGTCCTCTCTGTCCTCAGAACAGATAAAGCCTGGGCAGCAGCAATGGAAACTTTCCACATGCTGTGTCTTAATTCAGACCAGCTGTTGTGGTTCAGTTTCCTTGGCCCTTTAAATCCTTGGCGCCTCTGCTGAGATTGTCATCATGAAGACCAGTTAGAATATGGAGCAGCCTTTTCCACCATTGCATCATAAAGCCAGAGATAGGCAGGGGCTGTGTGCTCCAATCGCCATCCAGCAAAGTGCTGAAGCATGTTAACAGGGTGACTCCCAATGCTTAAAGCCAAGCATGTGCTTTAGTGATATGCTGGACCAATGCCAGGGAGCTCAGCGCCGCATCAAAGCATGATGTGCTAAGCAAAGTGCTATTTGCAGTGGATACATCTGCTAGTGTGAGCACAGTCATTGAATCGGTTGCTAATTCAGGAGAGAGGAGGTTAGTGAGGTGCCAGAGAGGATGGGCTGCTATGTTCTGCTCCCAGCCTGCTTGCTCCTCCTCAGGGTCAGCCAACTACAATATTGCTGGTCATGGGAGCTTTTCTCAGGCCTCCCCATCCTCTTTAAACATCAGCCAGCAGCGTGGCAGCTGGCCCCAAGCTCTATTTTTGAGGCCTCAGTGATACACTTCAGGTCCAGGGGTCAGGTGCAGTGCTCTCTCCAAGTGCAGCTGAAAGCACAAACTGCTCTGCCCTCTACAAATATTCCCACCCCTCCCTTCCCAAGAACCCAATTCACAGTGGGACTAACGGCCACCACAGGAGTCCTGAGCTAGGACTGGCTGTTTAAGTTCCTGGGACTTCTCCTCAAACCACTCCGTCATCTGGTCTTTTTTTCTGATTGAGGAAAGGTCACATGCACTTATCAATAGCGTTTATCTGTAGCAAACAATCCTTAGTGGATAAAAAGTCCTTTCAGTACACGAGGACAAACAGGGAGACCTATTCTCAAAATACATAGCAGATGTACAAGCATTTATATCTGGTGCATACCACAGAAGACTCCAGCCAACATTAATATGCTCCCATCCTGTCCATTGTGCATATAATGCATTGAAGCTGTGGAGAAATGCCAGCAGGTTTTGCATCTGTTGTTCTGGCAGGGTCTGGTGCCACTTTGAGTTGGGTGTCCTGGTCTGTGGGGAGCTTGCTTCCAGTGATGAGCTTGGTGAGGCTGGGGGGCTGTTTGAAGGCCAGAAGAGTGTTCTCTAGAACAGTCCTGCACCAACGTCAACTTCCTGGACTCACAATCAGCTTCAGCAATGGAACCCTACAGACAACCATGGACAAGAAACTCATGGATCACCATACCTACCTTCATAAACCCAGTAACCACCCCAAATAACTAAGAAATCTGTGATATACAGCCAGGCACTCAGATACCGCAAAATATGCTCTGAGGAGAAATTCCAGGATACACACCTTAACACCACCTTCACCAAACAAGGACGCTCCACCAGAGAAGTAGATCACATCATGGAACAGGTCACCCAAAGACCTCAAGAGAAACTACTTCAATATGAGGGGGAAAAAACCTCTTACCACACACCCTTTGTTGTCACCTGCCACCCCACGCTGGAACCCATATGGGGTATTATTAAACAATTACAACCCATTTTCAATGGGGACTACATCCTGAATTAAATGTTTCCCAAACCCCCTCTTCTGGCCTTCAAACAGCCCCCCAACCTTGCCAAATTCATCATCAGATGCAAACTCCCACAGACCAGGGCCTAAGAACTTAAAGTGGTGCCCAAACCCTGCCATAGCAACAGGTGCAAAACCTGCAGACGTATCTCCACTACTACAATGATCAACACCCTCCCACAACACACCTTTCACAATCCATGGGTCCTCCTTCATATGCCTGTCACAACATGTGGTATACCTCATACAGTGCACTAAATGTCCCAATAACAACTCTGTGGGTGAAAACCAAGACAATCCCCAAGACAATCACCATGCTCTCGAATGAACTCACACAGAAACATGATAAAAGACAAAACATTCTATCACTCGTGGGTGTACACTTTTCACACAACAGTCACCCCATATCCAACCTCTCTGTCCTCCTCCTCCGAGGAAACCTGCACAACACCATCAAAAGAGGAGCTTGGGAACTTAAATTCATAACTTTGCTAGATACTAAAAATCATGGTCTTAATGAAGACAATGGATTTATGGCTGATTACAACAATCTGTGACCCACTAGCCCTGCTTTTTTGTCCTTGGACTGCAGGGCTGTTAACTGGCCACCTCCCATTGAATGGTCTCTTACAATATATGTTAACTACGCATGCTAAACAAACGTTGTATTTAGCAGTGACACTGAGTCCCTTTCCCAGAACTGAAGAAGAGCTGTGTATTGCTCAAAAACTTGTCTCTTTCTGTTATATCCTTGGGGGCAACAGCTTTAGGAAGAAATCACTGGAAACACAGAGAGCTGCAAACCTTAAAAGCAGCCATTTATTGCCACACAGTGAACTAACCAAAAACCAACCAAATACACAACACTTTCACCAAGAGAAGTTGGTCCAATAAAAGATATGAACTCACCCACCTTGTCTCTCTAATATCCTGGGACCGGCATTACTACAACAAGTCTGCAAACCTTAATTCTGGCATTTCCTCACTTTTGAGGGCTTGACTTTGCAACTTTAACCTTCTTTTAAGAGTGTGTGTCTGTGTTGTAAATAATAATAAGTAAAATAAGGATGATTCTTCCATGCCTCATGGTGTGCTTTGAGACTGAATTCTTTACTGTTTGCAAAGTACTTTGAGATCCTTGAGTTGAAAGCCCTATGCAAGTGCAAAGCAACCTTAATATCTGTGGATGTTATAAGGCAGTCCTAATTCAGGCCATATCCCTTTGTCTTTAATTAGGCTTTTGCTGAATTACAATTGTCTGGTTGCACTGTACTTTTGAAAAGGGAACATCTTTTATTTTCAGGGGTTAGGATCTTGCATTAGCAGGAATGTTGAAAGCAAGTTGATAATCTCACCCATGGGACTTAATTCTGATGGGTTTTACACCAGTAAACACTGTTGACTTCAGTGATTTAATCTTGATTTACTCCAGTGTAAGTGAAATCAGAATAAGGCCAAGGAACTGCAGCTGTATCACAAAAAGCCTGGATTTCTGATCCATAAAGGCCCTTGTATTTTGGAACACCGGAATTAATTGTACATTAGGGCATTTTGATCACATGCTGGTCACCCCATGTTTGCTAAGTTCCTTCCAAGTTTGCAGTGCCACAGAACAAAGATGAAGCTAAGTACAGAATAATCACCGACGATACATGTTCTTGCCTTAGCTTAAAGTGCTCAGGATCATCCGCCTCTGGGACTGGCACAGACGCAGCCAGATTCTCAGACGTGCCTACTCACGGATCCCTCGATTCCTGGGAGCCCATCTTTCCATAGCTTGGGCTTGATGTTCAGAGCAACGGAGCACGCACAACCTGAGATGCCTCAAGTTAGGCACCCAAAATCAGCGGCCACTTTTGAAAATGTCGGCCTCAGCCCCTTTTTTGCAGAGTCAAAGGACTAGTCCCTGTTTGCTTCTTTCCCTTACCTTGGCATCCGTTGAGGATGGGATAGAAAAGGGTTGAATGTAGCGTAGCTGCGTGAGCACAATACTTTCAGACCCTTCGGAGACTGCAGCCGTATGCAGTCATGGATTCAAATAGATGCACTGGGCTTGCAGCCTGGGAAATGCCAATGCTCCAGGCATTAATGAGAATAACACTTTGCTCTTACACAGCACTTTATATCTTCAAAGAGCTTTATGGGTGTTAATTGATCTTTCATGGACACAGAGTGGATCCTTTCCTGGGCAAAACTCTACCTGACATTGACAACTGGACTGCTGCAAATGTCCTCCTCATGCAGGACTTGATTGAGAGAGGCCCTTCCAGGGTGCTTGGGGGTAGGGGAGATGGAGGGCATGAGGAGCCTTTCCCCATCTTGCATGCCCCATCCAAGAACTAATCGCAGTCTCAGATAATCACAGACTCTCTCTGTGCACCTCTAGGAGCCCACGTTGTCCCAAGGGGGTAGGCAGTGGTGAGGAAGGGGTGGGACCATGGCTCTTTCCCACCTCCAACACTGGATCACAGAGGAGACCATAGTGGGGAGTGCAAGAAGAAATTGTGCCTGAATCCCTCCCCAAGCCCAGCATGGGGCAGTACAGCTCCATATTGCCTCTCTACTCAGGCCGGTGACGTGATCTAGCCCCTAAAGAAATTCTACAAGGGATATAAATCAGTTTCTCTGAGAATCCCTCCCTCCCACACCTTAGCTTTTTGGAACTTGTGGAAGCAGCAAAGAATCAGATCCAGGATTAATTTGTTTAAAATGTAACAGAATTCTATAAAGTCCAAGTGCATCATCCCCTTCACTCTGCGCCTGATCACAGCCTTTGAAAAATGCATTTGCCACCAAGGGAAGCAAACAATCAATGGACGTGTGGTCCTCCTCTCTAATCACAAGGCAGAAGAGTGTGCTTCGGAGACTGCAGGACCCAGTGTGCTAGAAAGCACAGATGTTTGAACAAACCCCCTGCAGAATCAGGGACATACACCTGACTCACCGGCTGACTGAACAAGGTGTCGCTCTAACACAGCTTCACGCTTCCTGGAGCTGACAGCTCTTTCTTTGGGCTCTGACTGATCTAATAAAGATCAACAGTTCCATCTGCAGCTGGACACGGTGAGAACCATTCTGTTGGTTGTTGCTGCGTGGTTTAGGAGCGCTGCCTTGTGCTGTGGTGTGCTGTGAAAAAGGGAGAGCTGGTATTTTATAGATATCGATTTAAAAAGAAGCTTAGAAAACACCAGCTGCCAGCCACAGAGGCTATGTTTTCCCTTCTCCAAGGTCTAAACCATTGTGTGAAGGCTTGAATCCAACCCCTGGGATCCTTATATAGTGGAACTGGAAGGACATCTCTTTCCCACCAGCACTGAGTTCTTCCTTGTGTCCTTTACCAGCCAGACAGGTTTATGGCTTTCCGCTAGCCTTCTCTGATGCTTAGAATCTGGCCTTTTCTACCATTGCCAGGTCAGGAATCTGTATCATGCAAAAAGGCTAAAATGCCATTCTGCTGTTGTACACATCCATATGATCTGGTTAGATTCAACTCTGGTTCCAAATTGACTTCTAGTTGTGGAGGTGGTCACAGGAATTCTGTAGCAAAGAAAGGGCTTGGTAACGCACAGCGGTATGAGAGCAGTCTTTGGGCTCTGGGAACAAACGGAAAGGTTTGGTTGCTACATTTAGTACTTTCCTGTTGACTTTGTGATCCAAGACATGATTATTTGGGCATGTGAGGGCACGGAGCATGTTCAGCTGCAGAGCATTCCCAAGATATAGTTTCCCAAGGCATAGAGATTCAAGGGTTGAGCCACAACACTGCCGAAATGGACATGTGCTCAGTCCGTGTGGGACATATGCTGGGCATGCCTTTGTCATATGCTCTGAGTGACAACGGATTGGCTGTCCATATTACTTACACATTAATAGCCAACCGCATCTTCCTTACTCACACTTTCGCTGAGTCTGCTTGTGAACAGCTAGATCACGCAGCCGACACCTCTGGGGGACTTTATTACAGAGATTGTCTGGAGCTGTGACGTTTGCATCCCCAGTCATCCTTTTCCAAAGAAGGAAAGGCTGCACCGGAGGCAATCCTATGGAGAATGAGAGGATGTGTTACAAACTCAGAAGCTACCCAGAAGGAGAAAGGACCCTGTGACACCAGTGACACCCAGAAGGAGCAGGAAAGGCCTACAAGAAGAGCCCCTCTGCAAAGCAGAGCTAACTCAAGGAGGAGGAGGATAGAGTGAGAGGAGAGACACCAGGGCGAATTGGAAAAGGAGTCACTATAGGGAGGTGACCGCCAAATCCCTAGAGGTGTTGCCTTGGAGGAGGAGGAGAGCTCATGACTCTATTGTTAATAACAATAGAGTCATACAGAATAAGAACCATAAAGAATAATAAGCCAGCCCTGCTCCTTTCCTTCCCCCCATAGAAAATCCAGTGCTTCTAAACCCATCAATACATCCTCTGTACATGCCTTTAGGATGGAGTTATCCTACTATCCCTTCCTCCTGCTGTGCTGCATCTCCTGACCGGCAGCAATGAGGAACAAATTGCAGAGTGAGAGGCAGGGCTATTCTTTCATGCAGTGAGAACATCTGAGGGGTTCCCAATATCCTACTCCCATGATTTGGCCAGTTCCTGACTCCCCTCTGCCCAAGAACCTGCCCAGAGAAAGGAAACACACTGAATCATGGGAGGTTCCAAATTACATTCCAAACTGTCCCAGAAACATTTAGGGCAGGAGCGGGGCAGGAGCAAGGTGGAATCTGGCCTAGGCAAGCGCTGAGCCCTCTGTCCCTCAAACTTATGTTCGAGTTTAATCTTGATTGCAGAAAAGGCACGGTGACTTGAATTGTTTGCATAGTTCATGGGTCAGTGGAAAGCTGAAAACAGTGTAGAGGAAATGACAGCCACTTATTGAAACCACACAGGAAACATCTGACAATAAGCTTGGGACTAATCTCTTCAAATCCCAAAGTCCCTACGATAGACACCCCGCCCACAAGATCCACTCCTAACATTTGAATGGTCCTGTGTGCCAACGCCACCTTGTAAAAATCTTGCTTTGGGCCTTTCCAGGTGTGCCCCTTTAAATTCGTGATCATATTGGTCTCTCCTGCCAAGCCCTCTTCCACTTCAAGCCAGAAGGTAGGTGCTAGGGGAACTCAGCCAGTTACACCAGGAACAAAGCCAGAGCAGCAGCTAGTTCTGCTAGAGATTTAGGGCCAAATCCTCAGTAGATGTTAAGTGTCCTAGCTCCATTGACTTCTATTTGCACCACTTGAGGATCAGGTTCTTGGGTTGCATCACTGCAGCATTTTCCTCCTTACTTCCCAGGAGAGGGCATGGAGTCCAGCTACTGATCAGGACTGGAGAAGCCAAAACCTTCCTGCTTATGGGAGAGGCTGGTGGAAACTTATTAGCTGGTTGACAGGGGCAGAGCGACTAAAGAACAGCAGCTCTCCTACAGCTGCTAAACTGATCCTGCTGCTTTGGTACCCCGGATGGTGCTATACAATGCAGAGCCTCCACCTGCATCCTTTGTCTCCAGAAGCTATTCTGTTCAAGACTGATCAGCTGTGGATGGGTCACGGAATTGGGATGAGGCTCAACTCATTTCACTATAATTTTATTTTCTCATTTTTTTCTGAGTGGGATAGTGCCCCAGTAATAGAACCACCCCGCTCTGGAACCTCGTAGAGGAGTGCAGTAGAGATTTAGGGCAGCAGGGCTGGGTTTGTATAGTGCCTACCAGAATGGGATGCTGGGCACTTATTGTTATACAAATAATAAATAATCATGTCATGGGTAACCGCACATGGCAATCCAGGATAAGACACTGTAGCTCACCTTGGCTTAGAACCAAAAATGAGAAACGTCCAAAGGTATGCAGTGGTGTTGTAGCCATGTTGGTCGCAGGATATTAGAGAGGCAAAGTGGGTGAGGTAATAGCTTTTATTGGACCAACTTCTGTCGGTGAGAGAAACTTACACAGACTGGAAAGAGAGCTCTGTGTAAGCTTGCAGGCTGGTCTCTCTCACTAACAGAAGTTGGTCCTTGTCTCGCTAATCCTGCAAATGACACACACGAGAGACAAGTGTACAGTACCGGCTCTGAACTGATTGTGCCTCAGGGCAACAGTCTCCAGCTGCCAGAGAAAACTGAGCACCTAATGAAATGGGCAAAAAATAAATACTTTGTGCTAGGAAATGAAACTGATATCTTGCTTTGTTTATTTTTTTAACCACACTACAGCCACGATCCAGTTCACATTAATGGGAGTTTTACCATTGATGCCAATGGAGGAAAGAGGATTCAGAAGAAAACTACAACTGGGGACAAAGAATGGGAAAGACTCTGCACTAAACAGCATCAGATCAGGGAAGTTCTCCTTGACTTTTAGGACTCAATGACACTTTACCTTGAAAGTAAGAGAAGAGCCAAGCAATTGTGCTTCGGGTATCTGCAAACTATGGATATATCAGAATCTGTCAGAGAGCCAGTGGGAACTGGACATCCCTGTCTCCAGGGCAACTGAGTCAAGATCCCCAGAGATCTGGACCTAGTGGACTGAAAGGAGATGACACAGCAGAGGATTGTCAGTTTATTGGTTGTTTGGGATTTGTGGAGGGTTGCAGGGAGGATTAGATGAAGCAATTCAATTCAATGAGACTTTTTTGGGATGACAAGATACATATGTATTGCTAAAGTGTAAGACAAATGCCAGACCCTTCAGGTGTCTGTCAGGGGCAGGTATGACCTAGCCGGTGTGGGGCCACACACTGTTTGGGGGTCCATTTGTTATTACTGTCCATACCTGATCTGGTGTCAGGATGGTAAGTGGTGCAGTGCCATTTCTCTCCTCTCTTTCAGGGCCAGGCACAATTTTTCCTCACTGCTTTTTGCTGAGACATCTTTTATAATTCCCCAGATTTGAGGAAATCTGTCTCTTGCAGTTGTATTTGAGACACTGGAGCAGAAAGCATCTCCCTGTCTCAGTCTCTCTGTCTCAGTACAGTTGCTTCTCTCTAGGGTTAGACTGCAGTGTAGACATACTCTGAGACTGTAAACTTTTTTGGGTAGGAACTATCTCTTTATTAAATATTTGTACAGTACCTAGCACACGGGGGTCTAGGCGCTAATGCAATACAAATATTAGAGAAGTATAACAGTAACTTACTCAGACATGGTCCACTTCTCTTTCCTTACATTATTTTTGTATGAAGCATAGTTGTATCCATGTCAGTCAAAGGATATGAGAGAGAGAAGGTGGGTGAGATAATATCTTTTTCTGGACCAACTTCTACGGGTTAGAGAGACAAGCTTTCGAGCCACACGGGGCTCTTCTTCAGGACTGGGAAAGGTACTCCAAGCATCACAGCCAAATGCAAGGTGGACAGATTGTTTAGCAAAAGTAGTTAATCCATATTCGAAGGGACCATTCAAGGTAGAGTGGCCCATTAACACCTCTGCAGTCACAGGACAAAAAGATACTGGTTAGTTAGTGTGTTACAGATTGTTGTAATAAACGATAAATCCAGTGTCTGTTCAGTCCATGATTTTTAGCCTCAAGCAGAGTTATGAATTTAAGCTCTCATGCTCATCTTTTGAAAGTGTTGTGCAGATTTCCTTTGAGAATGAAGACTGATAGGTCAACCATAGAGTGATCGCTGTGTGAAAAATGTTCACCCACAAGTGATGGGGTGTTTTTATCTTTCATCATTTTTCTGTGTGAGTTCATTCAAGAGCACAGTGATTGGTTTCACCCATATAGTTGTTACTGAGGCATTTAGTGCGCGGGATGTTGTGATAGGCTTGTGTAGGATCCATGGATCTTGAAAAAGGTTTGTGGGGGGTGGGGTGTTAATCATGGTAGGAGTGGAGCTATGATTCTAGGTTTTGCCTCTGTTGTTCTGGTAGAGTCTGGGGCATTTTAAGTTTGTGTGTCCTTGACTGAGGGGAGCTTGCATCAGATGATAAGCTTGGAGAGGTTGGTTGAAGGCCAGAAATGGAGGGAGTGAGTTCAGGAATGATTTCTTTCAGGATGGGGACCCCATCAAATATGGGTTGTAGTTGTTTGATGATGCCCCGTATGGGTTCCAGGGTGGGTTGACAGGTGACAAGTAGGTGTATGTGGTCAGAGGGGTGTTATTTCTGTATTGAAGCAATGGTGCCTAGAGCAGCGTTTCTCAAACTGAGGTCTGCAAGGGTACTCCGGGGGTCCACGAGCCCTGCTGATCAACTCCTCTCTCTCCCTCCCTCCCTCAATTCCTCCCCCTCTCTCTCAGTGCCTCCTGCAGGCCACAGAACAGCTGTTCAGTGGTGTGCAGGAGGCACTGTGGGGGAAGGGGAGGAGCGGGGGAAGGGTGGGGAAGAGGAGGGATGGGGGTGGAGTGGGGGCGGGAAGGCAGGACCTGGGGCTGAGCGGGTGGGGCTGGGGGGGGGGGCGCGGCCGTAAACATTTTAAAAATCAAAATGGGGGGCCGCAGGTTACTAAAGTTTGAGAACCGCTGGCCTAGAGGGGCTGGCTGAGCTCTGGAGCCCATTATTTTTAGCATGGTACAAACCCATAAGGGACAGTCCTCACCCTAGAGAACTTGGAATCTAAACAGACAAGCCAGACAAAGGGTGGGAGAAAGGAATTCCTGTCTTCCCTGCCACATCACCTTGGGCTGAATCACAACCTGCAAGAATTCGACAGTCTCGGGATGCTTTATGTGTTTGCTCCTGAAGGGATGGTCCTACAAGTGCTACAACCACCTTGGCCCGCACCAGGGCAAGGGAGAGGGCCCTGCTGTCACTCCTGCCCATGGCTATTGCCTGGGTGGCCCTTCCCCCTCTTTCACCCCAGCCCAGCTGGGCACCCCCTCCCAAGCCACCCTCCCTCCTAGCCCCGCCCCTTCCCTATTTACTCTCTAGCCGGATGTGCCCTCTGATAGGCCCACGTACTGACACGCTCACCAGGCGGAGCCAATCCGCTGCAGCCACAGCGCACTGGCGAACAGGGGGCGGGGCGAGGGGCGGTGAGGGTATAAAAGGGGCCGTCGTTTGTTGGCAGCCGCTCGCCGTCCCGTCCCCGCCTGACGCCCGCCGAGTCCGAGCCGCAGCCCCGCGCGCCATGGAGCCCTTCGACCTGCTCGTGCGGAGCCCCACGCAGCGGCACCCGGACCTGCGCCTCCGCGGCGAGCCCGGCTGGACCGTGCGGCAGCTCAAGGCCCGGCTGCGCCGCCTGCACCCGGAGGAGCCGGTGAGGCGGGGACCGGACCCCCGACCGGGCCGCTCGTCCCGCGGCCTCGTCCCGCGGCTCCCCGCCCCAGCGGGCCGGGGGAGGCCTCGAGCCCCCGCCCGGGGACCGGCTCGCCCCCGCCGGGCACCCCCCAGCAGGGCTCCCCTGGGGGGTCCTGACCCAGCGGGCTGGGGGGGGTCGCGGTGTGTTCTCCTCCCGTCAGCGGGGCTGGGAGCCAAGGGCCCCGCGCTGCTCGCAGCAGCACTGAAGTCAGGGGGGGCTGAACTGCAGCCCCCACCTTGTGGCCCCCTTTGGGGCAGCCCCCCACCGTTACAGCCCCCGGACGTTTCAGATGGAAACAGCTGAAATCGTGACATTTCTGATTTTTTAAAATCCCATGACGTTGACCAAAATGGACTGTGAATTTGGTAGGCCCTAACATTGAGCGCCCGTACTTGGGACGCTTCTGGGTGTGGACGTGGGTGTTCGTGTTACCACAGAGCTGTTGTCATTTCTGTTGCACAATCTACTTTGCCTCCCTCTTTAAAAAAAATAAATAAAACACACTAATTACGGCAGCCTTGGCTCTAAAAGGTTGTACTATTTACCAGGAGGCAAAAGTGTTCATGCAGCGTAGTTGTAGCTTTGACGGTACCAGGGTTTTAGAAGTACAAGCTGGGTGAGGTAAAACTTTTTGTATTGGACCAACTTCAGTTGGTGAGGGAGACAAACTTTCAAGCTTACACAGAGCTGAAGAACCTTCTTCAGCACCTGAAGACTTTTTTTTTTTGCTCCACATTATCAAACTTTAAAGAGACATCAAATAGATGCTGCAGTTCCCTGAACCTTTGAACACTTTTACAGGCAC